ATTTAATACACTTACCTTGGTTTATACTACACTCCTGAAAACACAATCATACCCTAATGTGCATATTTATTAATTATTTCCTATGTTATAATGTGCATATTTATTAATTATTTCCTATGTTGCGAGATACAGTACGTTCCTCGATCAAAATTCCAACACGCTTCCACAACACATAACAAAGTGAGAGCCTACATAACAAAGTGAGAGCCTACATAACAAAGTGAGAGCCTACATAACAAAGTGAGAGCCTACATAACAAAGTGAGAGCCTACATAACAAAGTGAGAGCCTACATAACAAAGTGAGAGTCTACATAACAAAGTGAGAGTCTACATAGATATTGCATAAAAAATGAAAATGAAAAGGTCGTACAGGGTAGGAATATTTGTCCTACCTTGCTCCTGGGAGATGGGAAATTTGTGGTGCCTTATTCTGTGTCTGCCTCCAGCACCAGATCTTCAATAAAATAAAAAGACTTCTGTAATGGATTAAGGTTATATCATTGTAAATTACAGATCAGTTGTACAATGAAAAAAAAAATACTGACTGTAAAATGAAAAATACATCTGACTGACATTTACAAGACTATAATATTAACTGTAAAATGAAAAAAAATATATTGACTGACATTTATATGACTAAAATATTAACTGTAAATGAATAAAAAATAAATTGACGGTATTATCAAGATGTATTGCACGATGATGCCAGTACACTGTTGTCCGTCTGAGGTACATACATGCAGAGTCATACCTATGTTATCTTACACCGAGATAGCACGTTGAGCCGTGATCATGACATTGAGGTGAAAGACATTCGCTACCAAACACCGTATAAAAAAACATCCGATGCATTTGTTCTCTCTTGTGTTGGTTGTCGTGGCATATGCGTTTGTATCAATTTCCGGTGGACGAACCGAACGCTGTTTCCGGCACATCACAAGCGGTTATATTAACTCGAACACCAAACACTCAATGCTAAGTTAAATAACCACTGTGTAAATAACTTAGTGTTAACATTTGCAAATTAACCTCAAGAAACTCACCGGTGCCCTTGTGTGGAAATCAACAACTACTCTGGTAATTTTAACTACTGTCGCTAATATTCAACTGATCCCAGCGGAGTAGTGAAAAACATCCTCGCTAAAACTGAAGAAAATAATTACAGTGAGCACTTTTGAGAGTCATTGTGTTCAGGTAAAGGATAGGTCGTGGATGGGATGGTGCTAAGGTAAATATTGTACAGTATAGTATAGTATATTGTATTGTATTATATTGTATGTACTGTATTTGTTTGGTTTATCTGCCTCTGAATTTGTGACTTGATTGTGCTGTATATCTTTGATCACCTGAAAATTAGTCCCCCCCCCCCAGCTTGTTTCATGTGAAGATTAGTCCCTAGATTATTTCACCTGAAGATTAACCCCTCCAAGCTTAGATTAGACCCTACATTATTTCACCTGAAGATTAGACCCTACATTATTTCACCTGAAGATTAGACCCTACATTATTTCACCTGAAGATTAGACCCTACATTATTTCACCTGAAGATTAGACCCTATATTATTTCACCTGAAGATTAGACCCTACATTATTTCACCTGAAGATTAGACCCTACATTATTTCACCTGAAGATTAGACCCTACATTATTTCACCTGAAGATTAGACCCTACATTATTTCACCTGAAGATTAGACCCTACATTATTTCACCTGAAGATTAGACCCTACATTATTTCACCTGAAGATTAGACCCTACATTATTTCACCTGAAGATTAGACCCTACATTATTTCACCTGAAGATTAGACCCTACATTATTTCACCTGAAGATTAGCCCACTAGCTTATAAACTGTAATGGGATGATTTCAGGACATAGAGAAGATATAAAAGATTTAATAGGAGGGTTTACACAGGTACGACTGATCTGGGGATAAAGTTTGTCCAAATCGCTGGACTGGATGTGGTGAAAACAGGCTCAAGGCATCTCGATCCCATGCAATAAGGAATCCAAAGGTGTTAAATCCGGAGATCAATTAACCCGGAGAATGTTTTGCACCGCGCCCAGTCGAGCAATAGGGGGAAAACCTTGGATTCAAAGTACTACCGTCACACGTTTTTGTACAGTCACTTCAAAACTACCTTGACGAAAATACTCCGAAAAAATACAAAACAGTGGACCATGAATTCTGACAACCCTACCGAGACAACAGGAGATACAGTGTTCATTCTGGAATTCATCGACCCCTTACCTCAACCCTTGAAGTAAAGATAATTTTTTTGTGGGACTTTACAATTATTATTTATTACCTGCAAAAAAAATATAAATTACCATTATTTTGACAGGGTAGAGAAGAGGGTTTTATGGACGTCCTGTGTATTAGCTACTGCATGTGTGTTTAAATATTGCAATAAATTATAGATGAGAGGGAGTATAATGATGTGTGTGTGTGTGTGTGGGTTTGATGGAGTTCTTTATATGTATGTTCTGTGTGTGTATGTATTTTATATGTATGGGTGGGAATTCTTTATATGTATGTATGCCTCGTGTGTGTGTATGTATGTATGTCCTGTGTGTGTGTACATCATAAACACACACAAATATGCACACTCACCCCTCTCCCAAACCCCCTATTTCCAGTGTCCAAGGCTGAGTGAAGTGAAAATAAAAGCTCTCGTGATGGAACGTGACCACCATACTTAGGGAGAGTGAGGGAGAAGCTATGAGGGAGGGAGAGTGAGGGAGAAGCTATGAGGGAGGGAGAGTGAGGGAGAAGCTATGAGGGAGGTAGAGTGAGGGAGAAGCTATGAGGGAGGTAGAGTGAGGGAGAAGCTATGAGGGAGGTAGAGTGAGGGAGGAGAAGCTATGCTAGAGGGAGGTGAGAGTTATAAGAGGTGAAGGAAGGAAGGGAGGTAGAGGAAAGAGGGAGTTAGGGAGGGTAGTGTGGGAACAGATACACTCCCTTACCTAATACTTGTGTGTGTGTGTGTGTGTGTGTGTGGAGAAGGTTCAGTAAGTGTACAGGTAAAGGTAGTCAAGGCCAAACACCTTAACAATGACACATGTGACACCTCAACAATATGACACATGTGACGCCTCAACACTATGACACATGTGACACCTCAACAGTATGACACATGTGACACCTCAACACTATGACACATGTGACACCTCAACAGTATGACACATGTGACACCTCAACACTATGACACATGTGACACCTCAACAGTATGACACATGTGACACCTCAACACTATGACACATGTGACACCTCAACAGTATGACACATGTGACACCTCAACACTATGACACATGTGACACCTCAACAGTATGACACATGTGACACCTCAACACTATGACACATGTGACACCTCAACAGTATGACACATGTGACACCTCAACACTATGACACATGTGGCACCTCAACACTATGACACATGTGACACCTCAACAGTATGACACCTCGACACTATGACACATGTGACACCTCGACAATATGAAAAAATGACACCACATATTTAATGACACATTATTGCATATGACACCACACCTCATTCGTATAGTGCAGATGACACACACACATTACACAGATGACACCACACTTCCCTAATGACACGAACATGACACTGGTGGAAATGTGTTTGAGTGACTAAGCTCATTGTGTCATATGGAGAGTGAGAGAGAGTGAGTGAAAGTGAGAGAGAGAGAGAGAGTTAGCTTCCAGACGCTTAGTCGGGCTTCCCCACTTGACCGTCTGGACCACCCGAAGCCACCCAGTTTGGCCGCCCACCCCGTCTACCTTCCCACCCAGTCTACCTTCCCACCCACTTCTGCTGTTCGTTTGTCCACCCAGTATCGCCAGAGAATAGGTGGGTTGGGTGCAGAAGGTGGATGGGCAGGTAGGTGGCTGTGGGTGGATGGGTAGGTGGGTGTGGATGGGTGGGTAGGTGGGTGTGGATGGGTGGGTAGGTGGGTGTGGGCGGTAATCAAGACGAGGTGTGTGGGAAAGTAAAGTTAGTTGTCCACCTCAACACACTTATATAAATTCACCTTTCACTTTTATACTGCTAGTCATCTGTGTCTGTATGTATGGTTGCATGTATGTACAGTTGCATGTATGTACAGTTGCATGTATGTATAGTTGCATGTATGTCTGGTTGTATTACGTCAATGTATACTTAAAAACACACCCAATTCAAAACATCTTGCATGATAAGCTGACGTATCCGATCTTGTTGATAAACCTATATCAGCGAATTTAGTCGACGGTGATAAGTGAAATAAATCATAGTTTGGCATAGCAACTCATTATTATTATATTACTGTTGCTTATTACTGTTATTATTATTGGTAGTAGTAGTAGTGGAAATTTTAGTAGCATTTATTGCAGGATTGTTGAGAGGAGTAAATTTATTAATACTTTTTTTCGTATTTTTTTAGTATTGCGAATATTTGTGAATTATTGCACTTATTATCAGTCCGTTATCCACATGAACTCAGTACCAAGCGGTGTCTGTCTGTCTGTAGTTCCTTGTAAACGTGGCACCACCGCTTCCAGTAGAGGGTGCGGGTTCTTATGAAGTAAACAAAACAAATATCTCTTATTCATGATACGACTGTAATTTATCTCACTAAACCCATTGCCTGTTTTAATTAATGGTAACTCAGTTTTGTAGGGAATTTTGACGTTAATTGCGTAGTTTGGGGGGAATGTTAAGTTAAAGGGTTGAGTTGTGTTGCGGTGTTCGGCACGTGTGTTGTACCACGTATGGGAGGAGAGCGCGCGGGGTCACTCAAACAAACCCGGGTGCATTTATCTCTGTACGGGTGTAAATTATCTCATCAAATGAGATGACTGTCGGAATATATTATAAGTACGTTCAGTAGAGATTTATAAAGTATAATGAACGGTTTATCCTAGTGAAATAATTGGGAAAGGTAGAACAATATGGCGGTATGTGGCAGGATGTAAGTACCACGTCGCTCTCTGCTTCTCTCGTAGTAGCCTATTCAGTCAGTAGTGTCAACTCGGCTCTCGTGACGTGTGTACGTGATCACGCTCACGTCTCTCCCTTATTCACATACAGAACTTTTTCTCAAGACAAATCACACAGATCAAGAACCATCATGGGATTTGGCGGGAAAGGTACTATCATGTCAGTGGTAAACGTGTGGTGACGGGTATATTATTAAGGTATTTCCTTGACAGGTAAAGCTGGGTTTTAACTGGTCATCCTGGCTACTGATTGGTGATTAGATCCGAGGTTGACCTGACGCTGCAACGTCATTGGTTGTCTCGTTGACAGGTCTGTACACGTGTGAGTAGACACATACATACATCCTTTAATACTTATAGTAGGTACAGATGTAGCATATATATATACAGTGTATATATATATATATATATATATATATATATATATATATATATATATATATATATATATATATATATATATATTACATCATATACATTAATGACACATACATACAAAAATTCAAAGACAACCGCACACACACACAGGTGTAGGAAAGGGATAACATCTGTCAGGTGGTGTTACATGTAGTGCTGTGTTTGTATACTGTGTGTGTATGAACTGTAGATGTGTGTTTGTTTAATGTACATATATATATATATATTTGTGTACCGTGTATGTATACATACCTTAATGTATTGTGTGTATAGGTCATTATATCGATGATTTGAGAGAGTGTGTATACAGACAGACAGACATTAATACCTATACGGATAGAGACAAAAAAAGGTAGATAGATATATAGACAGATAGGTAGAAACACAGACGGACAGATGAAGTAAATAGAGGTAGATAGATAGACAAACAGACGGACAGGTGAGGTTGGTAGACAGACGGACAGGTGAGGTTGATAGACAGGTAGACAGACAGAGGTAAGGGAGTGATGGTTGTACCAGTACTTGTGTATGCAGGCAAGGTAGAGGGTCACCTGTGTAGTGTTGATTAATTAGTGGCGGTGTGTGTGTGTGTGTGGTATTTATTTTTTACCTCTGGGCACCATTTTACTATATTACCTACAGCGTGTGTCTGTCTGTCATGTTAAACGCACTTCTATGATCCAACACACACACACACACACACACACCTACACATGTATATTTAAATACCACCTCAAGGACTTAAAATTATCAGAAAATCCCAAGTTTTTTTTTCCCTGTTGAACAAGGACACCAAGATGGAGTCGATATTGAACAAAGACTCGACTCAGTGTACTCTAGGGGTTAATTTAAGGCAATTTATATCACGCACACCTTCCCACCTACACACACGCGCACACACACCTTCTGTACACCCTCCCACCCACACACACACACCCAACCACACACACACACACACACACACACACACAGAAGGGCTTAAAAAGATAATATTGACATAACTTTCTCCCGTTCCACACTGCAGACCCTTGGTGACGTGAGTATGATCAGGCAGCCAGGTGGAAGGGGGAAGAGTCAGGTAGGGAGGTGGATGGGATGGGAGTCAGGTAGGTAGGTGGGTGGGAAGGAGAGAGTGAGCGGAGTTGGATGGATGGAAGGGAGGGAGGGGAGCTGGGTGGGTGGAAGGGGAAGTAGGTGGGTGAGAGGGGAAGTAGATGGGTGAGAGGGGAAGTAGGTGGGTGAGAGGGGAAGTAGATGGGTGAGAGGGGAAGTAGGTGGGTGAGAGGGGAAGTAGATGGGTGAGAGGGGAAGTCATCTAAACAACAAACTCTTCAGTAACAATGGGTCAAAGTTGACAATATCGTCTGGACAGTTTTCCAGTGGACAAAACCCCAATAAGGTATTTCCAGTGGACAAAATACCCATAAGAAGATGACAAAATCCCAATAAGGTATTTTCCAGACAAAATCCCCTTATGAAAACAGTGGACAAAATCCTAATTAAGCATTTTCCAGTGGACAAAATCTCTAACGTATTTTCCATTGGACAAAATCCCAATAAGGTATTTCCCAGTGGACAAAATTCCCATCAGCAGTTGGATTAGGTGACAGTATATTAGAGCAGGATTAAACAGATTAAGCTACATTATATATAATTATTACCATTTACTTAATACCATGATCAACAGGTGTGGAGATTAATACACACTTACACATATACATTACATACACACACACACCTGTTCACATTTGTTACATGCTTACATACATACACACACCTGCTACATACATACACCTGTTCACACTTGTTACATACACATATGTCCCCACAAGACAGCCAAAAAAATACCATTAAATTATACTCTTATCCATCAACATTACTCTAAATACAACACAGTGTACATTTATAAGTAACATCATAATAAAGTATAAATATAAGTAAAATAAATCAGTATAAGTGAGGTAAATCATAAGAAATAAGTAAGTTATGGTTTATCTCAGAGACACGACTGGACAAGTACTGGGCGGATCAAGATGTCATTGGCGATTCGTTAAAAAGTATGTAGTCACGAAAGCCCAGACCCTCTAAGTACTGTATAAGTGTGTTTAAGTGGATTAAGTGTGAAGTATTTATGTAAGTTTATAAATACATGTAGGTGACTGAGAGAGAGAAAACATGGTCAAGAATCCCAACTGTCTCCCATCTCTCTCTTCCTTCCTTCCTTCCTTCCTTCTATTCATCCAACCATCTATCTTATCTATCACTCTATCTATTTACTATCTATCTATCTATCTACCTCTCACTAATTCTCTATTGTAGTTCCCAATTATCATAAAATTTGTCCTTGTCGGAGGAATTTCGCCACGTCATTTACCATGTCCTTGTGTGTACAGTATGTGTGGTGTGTGTGTGTGTGTGTAAAATATATATGTATGTGCGTGTGTACAGTACAGTATGTGTGTATTATATCACCACTTAATATCACCATTCGAGTTGCTCATTTCGCTCGATGAATGACCAATAACAATACTCCTTCTCCCCCCAGACTTGACCCTAGGCAACATGAAGGCACTAATCCTGGTGGGCGGGTACGGTACTAGGCTGCGGCCGCTCACCCTCAGTCGCCCCAAACCTCTGGTCGAGTTCGCCAACAAACCCATCGTGCTGCACCAGATCGAGGCGCTGGTGGCCGCTGGGGTGACGCAGGTCGTACTGGCGGTGTCGTACCACGCCGAACAGATGGAACAAGAGCTGGCACAAGAAGCTCAAAGGGTATGGGTATAATATCGTGGTATTTTTATGTAGCAATTTAAGGAACTGTATCTCTTAACCCACCTTGAATGTTGAGTTACACATATAACACCTTAACCCACCTTGAATGTTTAAGTTACACATATAACACCTTAACCCACCTTGAATGTTTAAGTTACACATATAACACCTTAACCCACCTTGAATGTTTAAGTTACACATATCACACCTTAACCCACCTTGAATGTTTAAGTTACACATATCACACCTTAACCCACCTTGAATGTTTAAGTTACACATATCACACCCAATCCCAAATTCCTTGAATAAGCTACAGCCATATCACACTCTGTCCCCACCTTGAATAAGCCGGGTTACACATATCACACCTTAACCCACCTTGAATGTTTAAGTTACACATATCACACCTTAACACATCTCAAATATTTCAGTTGGGTATCCAGATCACATTCTCACTGGAGGAGGAACCACTCGGCACAGCAGGACCCATCAAGCTAGCCCAGAGTATCCTAGCGGCCAACGACGAGCCTTTCTTTGTCCTTAACTCCGATGTGATCTGTGACTTCCCCTTCACCCAGATGGTCAAGTTCCACAAGCAACATGGACGGGAGGGAACTATTGTGGTATGTTGTGGTGATTGTATAATGCTGGTGCGGTGATTGTATGATGCTGGTGTGGTGATTGTATGATGCTGGTGTGGTGATTGTATGATGCTGGTGTGGTGATTGTATGATGCTGGTGTGGTGATTGTATGATGCTGGTGTGGTGATTGTATGATGCTGGTGTGGTACATTGTGGTGATTGTATACTGCTACATCCATTTCCAACCAAACTATTTAAAACTATTTGCCTTGTCTAACCAAATGTCACCCAAAAGTGTTTCCTTCTCCAACCAAACTTTACCCTAAGGCTGCATCCTTCTCCAACCAAACTCAATTCAAAACTACATCCTTATGCAACCAAATGCCACCCTAAACTTCCTTGTCCAACAAACCTTAGGGTGTTAAATCATCAGCTGAAGTATCCTTGAGTACCCAAACTTTACACACCATCTTAACCTAACATAACTTAACATAACCCTAACCTAACACTAGACAAATCTAACTCCCTAGATAGCATTATAGTTAAACAATATCCTCACGAGATCTGTCATTTCCCCGACGCCTTTCATTATCTGTTCAATAAACTTCTACCCCAAGCTAACTATTTCACCCCCTCACAGGTAACCAAGGTGGAAGAGCCGTCGAAGTATGGCGTCGTGGTGTACGAAGAGGGCGGAAAGATCGACAGTTTTGTGGAGAAGCCTCAGGAGTTTGTATCCAATAAGATTAATGCAGGAATGTACATCTTCAATCCCTCTGTGCTGAATAGGATAGAGGTTTGTATATTGGGTGGTTTCCTATGGCTTAGTAGATCAAGTACACCTGAAGATTAGTCACCCCAGCTTATTTCACCTGATTATATACACTCTAATGCTACCTGGGATGGGGGGTTGGGTTAGGTTAGGTTTTGTGTTAAGATTAAGGTTGTTAATCATTAGTTGAAATAAGCTTAGCAGGGTTAATAGGGTGATATTTTACCGTGGCTTGCAATCACTTGACCCATGCTTGAGCTAGCTATACCCGACCTAAACGATCCCATGGTAAAGGATAGAAACAGGACTAACGACGTATTTTCCTCCCAAGTGCCGACCAATGAGCATCGAGAAGGAGGTGTTCCCGTTCATGGCCAGGGACTCTCAATTGTTCGCCCAGGAGCTTCACGGCTTCTGGATGGACATTGGCCAGCCTAAGGACTTCCTCACTGGCATGTGCCTTTACCTCAACTCTTGCAAGATCAGCAACAGTGCCAAGCTTTATAAAGGCCCAGGTAACATAACTCTACTGTATCTACCTGTACTTGTGTGTTACTTGAGTGTGTTGCTTGTGTTAATGTGGTACTTATGTCTGTTCCTTATATCAGTGTGTTTCTTGTATGAATGTGTTACTTGTGTGTGTGTGTTACTTGTGTGTTGCTTATATCAGTGTGTTTCTTGTATGAATGTGTTACTTGTGTGTGTGTGTGTTACTTGTGTGAGTGAGTTACTGTACTTGTGTGAGCATGCATTAATTCCATCCCTTTATCTGCACAAGGAGTGGTTGGCAACGTCCTGGTCGATTCATCGGCTAAAATCGGAAAGAACTGTCGTATAGGCCCCAACGTGACCATCGGCCCGGACGTGGTAATAGAAGACGGGGCGTGTATCAAGAGGTGCACCATACTCCGGGGGGCCACCATCAAATCTCACACTTGGTTGGAGAACTGTATCATCGGCTGGAAGTGCATCGTTGGGCAGTGGGTATGTAAATATGTCCCTCAGATGGCACCAGTGGGTATTGTTAGGTGATGGAAGGATGTAGAGTAAATTGTTTAACTCATGGGTGGGTTTAGGCCTATGTTTTGTATGATGAGATATTCAAAGTATGTAATATTTTGTGCAGAAATGTTGCCTCACCTATCAAACCTAACCTCATCTATCTTATCCTAACCTATCCTATCTAACCTTACCCATCAAATTTAACCTCCATATCTAACCTCACCTCGCCTAACCTCACATATCTAGCCTTACCTAACCCCCCAGCTAGCATTAGGGTGTTAAATCATCAGGTAAAATAAACTAGGGGTGTAATAACCTTCACATGCTCTAAATTAACAGATACTAAACATTACCTCAGACATACACTCATAACCTAACCTAACCTACTCTCTTTCCGAACAGGTGCGTATGGAGAACGTGTCGGTATTAGGCGAGGACGTGATTGTAAAGGACGAACTGTATGTCAACGGGGGTATGGTCCTGCCTCACAAGAGCATAGGTGCCTCGGTCCTGGAGCCTAAGATCATCATGTGAAAGTTGGCGCTCGTTGTTCTATGTGACGTTAAAGCATGACAAGATATATATATATAAATACCGTATATAATTTGAGTGCGTTTGTTGTATCTTCCAATTCACATAGGATATAAGCCTTGTATTTATGTAAGATGACTCATGATTCTGTGTCCATTTGCATTTTCTCTATATCTCCTCTCTATTTCTTCTTTACTCTTTCATTTTCTCTTCACCAGATTCCCTCAAATATTTGGTTAAATTTTCACATTAACATTATTTCCTTCCCTCTACATTGATTCCTTTGGGTTATGCACTAGTTAACACGAATTCAACTTTGGTAAATGGCACGTTAAAATCTAGTTCACCTTTAATTAAATCCTCTTCCTACTATAGTCCTCACATTTTCTCAGGGACATTTTGTAATTAAAGTATTGTGTGTCATTTACTGTAGGTTCACTAGCCATTTGGACATGTTTATCATTAAGGAGGAATATATATATATATATATATATATATATATATATATATATATATATATATATATATATATATATATATATATATATATATATATATATATATATATATATATATATATATATATATATATTCCAATAGGGGGAAATGTGCAGTGCAGTTATTCAGTCGTCCAAACCAATGTTATATTATCAGAGTTGTTGATTACAATTACCATATATTTTGTCTTGTTTATGTTTCACCTGAAGATTAACCACCCTAATGCTAACCGAACATAATCTTATCTAACCTAACCCAATACAACCAATTCTAATCGACTATCCTAACCCAAACCATCCAAACCTAACCTACCCGCTTCCCCTAATTAGCATCAGGGTGATTAATCTATAGGTGAAATAAGATAATGAGATTCTTCAGGTGATCCCATATAATTACCAAATATGGGAGGTAATCACTTAAACACATAATTATGAAGGCTCAGTAAACATCTAGGAATGTATATTTTAATGTCGGTTTGGGGGACTTTGAGTTACGGATTAAATATATTCACTTTATCGTGAATCCTTCCAATGTGTGGTGTGTTAAAAGCTGGCAGCTTGACGTTAAAAGCTTGCTGCTGGATGTTAAAAAGCTCCAGACAGGACGTTAAAAGCTTGCTGCTGAATGTTTAAAGGCTCACAGCAGGATGTTAAAAGCTGGCAGCAGGACAGTCTAGGTATAACACCTATAAATCCCCCAGAATATAATAAGCTATGGCCTTTATGGTGCCGTGTGTATAAGACCTGTAGGTATTTATATGGAACGATCTTTTAGACCGGGTGATTACCTTGCTGTAGCCTCGGTGTATTACTAATGTCATTTATGATGCCGATATCCTGTATTTTGTGTATTTTCATCATACAGAACGGTTATACGGTATTAGTGGAACTGACTCACCCTATAGTTCCTGTTTATAAAGACCAAAAGGAGACTGGAATAATTTTAAGATTCCACTTGGCAAATGTTCCAACAATATACGGAAAAATTAGTGTTTCCTGTCTATGAAAAATTAATGTGTGGAAAGATCCCTAATGATACAGTCTTATAAGAGTTGGAATAGACTACAGATAAGGGAGCTGTGCGAAGCATCTTGTGGCACCCAGAACATTGTGATGGTATGTTGGTACTGACGGTGTGGAAGTGTGTGTGTGTGTTAGGAAGACTTTGGGTGGTGTTGGTGCAGTCAGAACAGACCTTGGAGGATCTTACTGTGTTAACAATAGTGAGTAAAGTCTGTATGGTGGCAAAAACAGTCTGTGAAGGTTCTATGTCAGCAAAAACAGTCTGTGAAGGTTTTGTCAGCAAAAACAGTCTGTGAAGGTTCTATGTTAGCAAACTCAGTCTGTGAAAATGGATATGAGGTGACTTTAAATAGTTGATTCTTGATATACTGATTTGCCTTTGATATATAAAACCCTTCTCCTTGTGAGTTTCAAATTCTTTTCCGTAATGTGTGATGTTGACCATTTACCCTTGCTTGTGACGTTCTTCATGTGGTCCACCTTGTGCGCTGGTTCGCCCTGGTGTCAACAAACGGAACTATGATGGTGAGGAAACTGAAGCTGCGACTGTTACTCTGGGATTTGAACAGCTAGGTGGACAGTTCTGGAGGGAGGGATGCACCATGTAACTTAAAACAATATAATGTTTTTGTTTGACGATTGAAAACACGCACACAAACACACACGTTTAGTCTTGGGTTTTCTATCCGTCTGTCCAGCTAGCCACACCATCTCTGACCTCTCCATACCTTCATCCACAGATTATCCTCATCTCTAAGTGAATGTCTTGCTATTCCCCCAATTCAGTACGAGTTATAATTACCAACTTTATAACTTGTAATCTAACCAGAGTACGTGATGGTTTAGAGCACAGTAATTAGCCCAGAATCTGTTTATCGGTCATTAACGTCACTTTATTGAGCGTTGGAAAGACTTTATGGTAATTTAAATCCTTCTTTGATCTCTAGTGATCTTATGGAGTTAAAAATAAAATGTTTCTTGGCAATACTGTAAGACAAACGACCACTCGAGTGAAAGAAGGTCACGCTGTTTGCTCGAGTGTAAGAAGAATGTGATGCTGTTTGCTCGAGTGAAAGAAGAATGTGACACTGTATTAATAACACTACAAACACTATCACCAGTAAGCCATAAGAATCAAGTGTTATTTTACGAGACAACACTAAACTTTGTTATGTATGTATGTACTGTGTATGTGTGTATACTGATAACCACATAGGAAACAAGAAAACACGAAGTTCCCAAGTGCTTTCATGTTATTCACATCTTCAGGGGGTGTGTATGTATGTATGTATAGAAAAGTGCCATTTCTTACACATTTTGTTCATTACCTGTTGCTTATAGTACTAAACACAAGATTATTAGCTGCCATTATCTCCTGTATAAGACTGAAACAAAAGCAGGTTGTCTAGGCATGATAAACAAGAGTAAACCACAAGATGGGAAGTATAATAGACTTACAGGGAGACTAATATAAACTTAGTCTTTTGAAGGATAATGTTAAGCTTAAAAGCAGGTATTAGGACTTGTCAAGGATAATGTTAAGCTTAAAAAAAACAGGTAATAGGACTTAACAGCTTGATCACAGGAAAGATATTTTAGTGGAAAAATAATTCACTTCATCCATTTTGTTTACCTTGTGTTAAATCATGAAAAATCCAAAGGAACCATAGACTGATATCCAAAGGTACTTAATACATATACTTATTTATATTTAACTTGTATATTTTAGTTACCAGTTGAAGGCTGTAGTGAGGCTATTAACTCTGGCAACAGTGTGTAGAGATGCTCACTAGTATGGTTCAAGTGGTTGGAGAAGAGTTTGTGAATTTAGCTTTTGTGATGAATTATTTAAGCAATAATATTATATTCTGTACGATTGATTGAGTGTTTGTTTAGATAGAATATAATACAGGTACAGGATGCAAAGGTTAAAAGAAGTGGCAAGATGACTGACTAACACACACACCTTTCCTCACTGACACACACACACACTTTCCTCACTGACACACACACACACACACCTTCACTCTTTCCTCACTGACACACACACACACACCTTCCTCACTGACACACACACACCTTTCCTACTAACACACACACCTTCCCACTGACACACACACCTTTCCTCACTGACACACACACCTTTCCTCATTTCATTCTACCATCATCATCCTATAAACTTCCCAGCATCTTATTGTACCATTAAAAGTTATACGCCTCATTACAAGGATAATTTCAACCTGTGTCGTTAAATGAAAATACTGTGCTACCTCCATCACAATCATGCCCCCCCCCCCAAACCCTCTCCTACACCCCACACTCCTATACACCCTCCCACCCATCCCTACACTCACCCACCCATCCCGACACTTCTCCCTACCCATCCCTACACAAAACCACCCATCCCCTCCCACACACTGCTTCCTACCCATCCCACACACTCCTTCCTACCCATCCCTACACACTCCCAGATATTTTAATTTTCTGTCTAGACAAAACCATTAACAAACTATTACCTTCCTCGACCCTCACAGCACATATAGTAAATAACCCTTCATTCACAGCGTCATTACTACTCACGGCAGCACTGAACATGACAGCCAGTACAGAACAGGACAATAGTATGTAAAATAATGTTTATCTCTGTACTCATTCATAGCAAGACAATGACGACGTGAAGCCTTAACACAGAGGGCCAGCTTGATATGAGCAGCTTATCTAGAGCTTTTCTTTCGAGTACTATATGACAATTCTGAGATATGAGACACTGTGGACGGCAAGACAAGTAACGGAACAGCTTAGAATTTTTTTTATTCTAAGCATCAAATTTCCCTCTAAGCTTAAACTGTATTTTCCGACGTATATTTCCTTACTTTGCTGTTTGTTAACTTCTCGTCCGCAATGCCTCATATAAGTGAATTTCCCAAGCTACCAAATCACGTTTCCCGATATGAAAGTTTAATATTAGCGAATATTAGAGCCATCGAGTCGTGTCTGGCTTGCATTGGTGTCCCCGAGATGGACTTTAAAAAAAATATTATACAGTTGGTGAAGAATTTATTATATAACGACACACACACACAAGGCAGTCAGTCAGTCAGCCAGTTACCCAGAGTGTGTGTGCTATATTTTGTCATAGTTTTTTTACTGTTGCATCTGTAATGTTGAAGTTTGCATAATAAAACCTGGAAAGTTTATTGGTGTTGATGTATTATATATTAACCTTAGAAGAATATTGGAATTTTCTGTTACTGTGATGTACAGATGTTTGTTAGAATTGTATTGTAAACATCACACACACATACATACAGATCACATACACACATACATACAGTTCACACACACACACACATACAGTTCACAGATACATACAATTCACATACACAAACTCACATTAGAATCACACAACTAAACCAATTAAATACCAATGTGTAATTTGGCAATGGTGAGGAGAATATTCTGAACCCCCCCCCCCACACACACACACCAATAATAAACACATTACTGTACTATTCTACTTACTATTACAATGTCCGGGCAAGGATGAAGAGTAGAGCCCGGAGTCACCACCAGCATGTCTGTGTTTGAGCAGTTGTTGCCATATAACCACTTGCTTTATACTCATCTATACCAAGAAGAAAAATAAAAAAAAACTGTTCTGAGGTTCTGATTGGATTAATGGTTTTAAATACGTCAAATTGATTGGCTGAATTTACTTACCCATTAATATTACAATTGTACGGTCATCCATAATAGTCCTCTCGCCTCTCTTCTTGAACCATGAACGAACCCCGGGATTCAGACTCGTGAATCCGAAACATTTATGGATTCAATAATGCATCGGTGTCTAGTGCTTCGGGTTCATGAATCTGAATCTTGGGGTTCGTTCATGGTTCAGGAGAGGCGACAGTACTATTGTGGGTGAGTGTACTGTACATGTCACATAGGGAATTTGTACCCAAAAATAAATCCACAGCAATAAAAGGCTACGTGCTTGTTTATTTCGGCAATTGAAGCCTCACAATAACAAATCATATACATCACATATACATACATATATTTTATATATACATATACATATATAAACATATATTAAAAATATTTTTATCACGGTCGGTTAAATTTTACTACATGAACAACATTTTATTAAGATACAAACTACAGGAAGTCACTACTGTACTCTGGTCATCTGTCACTTCTGAATTTATAAACAAATTAAAACATAAACAAATGCAGAACGTTAACAGACACTCCCGTCGTTACCCCAAGACCATGTTGTGTGTGTGAAGGTGACCCCAAGGCAAGAGAGAGGTGAGACGTTGTGTCGTACTCAGTAAGGAACATATCTGAAGCCTCGGATGATGTGTACGTTAAGTAAATAAAACTAAAAAAAACCGCACACACACATTTACCCATGATGGAAAAAAGATTCACATTTACCCATGATGAAAAGACTCATTCTATGCCCACAATGACAATCAAAGGTTTCGTGTTACAGTTCAGAGGTTAACGATCCATACTTGTGACCTGAAACATATTCGAAGTGATCGTTAATGTACGATAACACCTAAAAACCCATTATCAGGCCCATATCAACCCATTCTTAGATCACAGTCCTAAAAAAACCCATTGTCAGACCCATATCAACCCATTCTTCGATCACAGTCCTAAGAATCTCAGTTAGACCCAATCTGACCCATTCTACTATCACAATCAGGGTCACAGGTCAGCTATTTGTCCTTACCCCAGTGGATAAGGACAACTTACTCCGCCCCCATACATGGAATAATGGAACAAGAGGAACATAAAAAGTCCACTGATGATGGCCGTCGTTAAGAGCGTCAATGACCGATGCTTTACGAGCCGTTTCTTAAATCATCCCCCAAAATACATTTCCCCGTTAAGAACTCGGTCACAAGGAGCTCATTCGGTCTTTTAAGTGAACGTATTATAGTTTATGTCAAAATCACAATAATAAACGTACTGTGAACGCATGAACATTAGAACAGCCCACAGTGAACAGAAGAGAACACAAACTAAAGCCAAGTGTGAAGTAAATGAGTCAAGTGTGAAGTAAAGGAGTCAAGTGTGAAGTAAACGAGTCAAGTGTGAAGTAAATGAGTCAAGTGTGAAGTAAATGAGTCAAGTGTGAAGAAAATGAGACAAGAGATCCTTTAGGCCACACAGAGAACACACAAGAAAAGACATCTATTGAAGGCAACTGGTGAGAGAAGGGGAGTGATGGTGAGAGAAGGGAAGAATGATGGTGAGAGGAAGTGATAGTGAATGAGGGAAGGTTTCTGGCCACACTGTACAGGAAGTTCAGTATGTAAACATGAACACTCAAGAAGAAGTATAGGAGAACTGAAAGATGAGACAGACAGACGGATGGACAGACATGGACAGACACAGACAGGCAGACAGACGCTAAACATGTTTACGTTCACCCAAAATAAAATGACTCAAACGATATTTTAGTTATTAAATGCAAAATATTTCAGAGGAAGACGGAGGGTTTTATCAGAACATGCCCAGTAATGTTGGGGTATATGCCCAGTAATGTTAGGGTATATGCCCAGTAATGTTAGGGTATATGCCCAGTAATGGTAGGGTATATGCCCAGTTATGTAAGAGTAAAGAGTATATGCCCAATTATTGAAGGATATATGCCCAGTTATGTAAGAGTATATGTCCAGTGATGTAAGGGTATAAAAATGCCACGCGTTGAATTGCACAAGACTGCTCAAGGTACCTAACTTAAATCAGGCAAAATGAAGCATCACGTACATGTATGTATATGTGTGTGTGTGTGTGAGCTTAATCTGCTATGACGACTCATAATTACAACATGAGTGAACTCTACTGCTTTACAACTACCATATTAACCCCTTGAGTATGAATTCATTATTTGTAAATCATTGTACACAAGAGGTTAAGTCATCGTACTCAAAAGATTAAGATATTGTACTCAAGGGGTTAAATCATCAAATACAAAAGGTTAAGCTATCATACTCAAGGGGTTAAATCATCGTACACAAGAGGTTAAGCTATCGTACACAAGGGATTAATTCATTGTACTCAAGGGGTTAAATCATCGTACACAAAAGGTTAAATTATCGTACTCAAGGGGTTAATCCGTTGTACTCAAGGGGTCAATGTAACGTACACAAGAGGTTAAACATATATACGTGTCTGATAATACCTTAAGAGTCTGACGCAGCTTGAGGCGATTACAATATATTTCAAAACAGGACATAAATATTGTTCTCATATCAATGTGTACAGTAAATATAAACTGATTTTCTTCCACTAACACGAGAGCTTCAGCGACGCTCCGAGATCCTCCCTCGACCCCCCGCCCCCCCCCAACATATGGTGAAGCCTCTAGCCTCTATTTAACGGAGTATACGTGAAAGGGTAGGCCGTTAGATCAACTATATGAGAGGTGGGTAGGCTAACGATCGACTATATGAGAGGTGGGTAGGCTAACGATCGATTATATGAAAGGTGGGTAGGCTAACGATCGATTATATGAGAGGTGGGTAGGCTAACGATCGACTATATGAGAGGTGGGTAGGCTAACGATCGACTATATGAGAGGTGGCTAGGCTAACGATCGACTATATAAGATGTGGGAAGGCCGCTATATATAAAATTTCCTTCTAACGGTTATCTGAAAGGTGGGTAGGCCATCATATATAGAACCTCTTTATAACGGACGACACTACATGTAAGGGGTTAGTCCGTCAGATCGAAGTCCATTATGTGGGGGTTTCACTGTACAATATATACATTAATATATTCCCTGGGCCGACAGTTGTGCATCAGGTGTTGTGCGATAAACAGCTTCGGGCGCACTGAGGGTCGACTCTTGCTACAATGTGAAATGGATCACCTTAGGGTTAATTAGCCTCCTTGTTTAGTTTCACCTGATGATTAAACACCCTAAGGCTACCTGCTGGGGGTTTAGATTAGGTTAGTGTTAGGTTGTTAGGTTCATGATGGGTAAGATTAAGTTAAGTCAGTGTTAGGTTAGGTTAATGTTAGGTTACGATCAATTAGGTTAGGCTAGGGTTATGGAGGGTTAGGATAGTGTTAGATTAGCTTAGGATCAGTTTGGTGTGTCACGGTAGGATAGATTAGGGTAGGATAGTGTTAGATTAGCTTAGGATCAGTTAGGTTAGGTTAGCATTAGGGTGGTTAAGGTGTAATAAGCTGGGGGGGTTGGCTAATCCTACCGTGATCCAATGAAACTGTACTAACAGTTCCTCTACTGACCAGCGGTGATATGAGCAAGGGACGTGAGCCTTATGCCTGAGATATATACTATAGGAAGGCAACACTAGACCCACATAAGACACGACAGTCATACATCAGGTATATAATTGTATGCACGACAGATAACCGACTCGCATGAAAAAAAAAATCCAGTTTGTTTTCGACGGATATAATCAATACCGATGCCCGATGGTTATAAACAGTATATATGGTGTCTGCTAAAACAAATTCCCAGCAAGAATTAACGTTTTAGACCGATATAACCGATACCAAATAATGCTACGATGTTTTATGGTAAAAAACAGTACATATAGTGTCTCCTAAAACAATTTCCCAGCGAGAATTACTACATCCCGTCTCGGTATTATAAAAATGAAAGCTATTTTGTGTGTGTTTGTGTATGAATTGTATCTGTATTTAAGCCCACACTGTATAGCGCGTGGAGCAACTCAAAGTGATCATCGCAGCAACACAACGGTTACCGACGGGTCGAGACATCAACACAAAGCATCGAGCCGACACGTACAGTAGTTTGAGAGCCACTGCAGGAGGACTGTGTCGTGGAATGTACCCTGTATGAAGTTATTTTGGTGTCAGCAGCTTGGATCATGTGACCTAGCCTGCTTGAAGTTCTATATTCTAAATAATATTAATAGACTTTCACAAATATCGATAACTTGTTGATATTTTATATAAAGTTAACTTGTGATTGATAACTTATAAATAAAACAACGGTCTAATGCCAACTCTTATCACCCGATGATTATAAAACTGTAGAAATATATACAACTCCTTCTTTTATATATGAGCATTTAATGAATTACCTTTAAGGCAATGGAGAAGGGTTCATTCTGGAGTGGCGGTGCAGTGCGTGGAGCCCACGCCACGGCTCCACCGCCACACCGCACGTGCCAGAACAACAGACTATATATTGTTATAGACCTAATTCTATGAAAGCACATTTTAAAGCCATAAACCTCGGCTCTCACACTCTCATTTACATGAAACGTTGACCTGACATGGTAAGGTTGAGCGGTCGTTACGTAAGGATTTAAAGCACCGTTCCATTCAACACCATACGTGCGTGCGGTGCACCAATGTTGTAGCAGCGAGAGACTTTCTAGCTACCATTTGGATTGTCACGACCTCGGCCGCACACGTCACGAGTCGTATGTCTAGGCCGTAGACTCCGTCTGTGTGGATGAAGATTTTAGATCAGATTCACTATCACTCGGCGGAGAGTCGGGAGGCCCCGGAAGGAGCAGTCTCGGTGCCGGGTGCGACATTGACGACGGCCTCCTGGAACCGCTCGTCTCCTTACTCTGACCTTCGGCATAGGAGCTCAGCCCGTGTATTGACTTAGCTCGCTCACCGCCCACTTCTTGTTGCTCAGACACGGTCGGTCTTAAAACACTTGTGACATTCATACTCTGTAGAGTGCTTATCCCCGATGGTGAGGTCACGTAGATATTGTGTTGCGTGCTGGACCTCGTGGGAGTGCTGACGTACACATTCTGGTGGGCGGTGACGTGCATATTTTGATACGACGTCGACACGGGAGAGGTCACGTATATATTCTGGTGAGTGCCGGGGCCCGGTGCACTCACATATAAATTCTGATGCGAACCGGACCCAGACATGGAGGTGACGTATAAGTTTTGTTGTGACGCGGACTGAACGGGCATTATGACGTGTACACTGTGGTGGGCACCCGGGCCTACGGAGCTGCCCACGTGAATACTTCTGTGAGTCTTGTAATCCCGGCCGGGAGCACCCTGCTCCTGGCAGCTCCCTCCATCAGAACCACTGTTCTGTATCTCCTGTAGAGCGAGATCCGAAGATGACGCCCTGTTAGTCATGTGCGGAGACCCGTGACCCGCCTGACCCACATTAAACATTACGTGCGTCTCGATGCTGGTGCAGGAAGTGTTGCCGTCACTGTCGAGCGCTGCCCCCTGCTGCTCCTGCAGGTGAGCCGCCAGAGGCACCTGATAGAGCGACTGATCCGGAGGACTCCCACACAGAGAGTACGACCCCGGCTCAAACACGGGTGGGTACTCCATGCCGGGGTAATGTGGAAGGATCTAAAATGACAAAAAATACAAGACTTGAAAGTTTTTAAACACGATCAGTCTTTAGTAACTTAGGTGTACTTAATGTGGCCTTGAGCTGTTTCTTAAGTCTCACTCAAGTCTATCAGGAGACAATAATACAACATTCTCCTTCAATAGACTTCTCAAGAGCCAAGCTGATGGGAAATCAATCTAATGTATCTACCTATCTACTGTATCTATTTACTTATCTACCTACTTATCTACCTATCTATCTACTTATCTATCTACTGTATCTATCTTTCTACTTATCTACCAATCTACTGTATCTATCTATCTACTTATCTACCTATCTATCTACATATCTACCTATCTATCTACTTATCTACATATCTATCTACTTATCTACATATCTATCTACTGTATCTACCTATCTACTGTATCTACCTATCTACTGTATCTACTTAACTATCTATTACAGTACTGTCTACCATCTCGGTCTTCAACAGTCAGGCTTGAAATACAAAGTAATTTACATCCTGGTTTTTAAAAACTTAGAAACCAATCTACTGTTTTCTGTACTGTACATCTGACTCGGGATCACAAGAAGATTAGACACCCCGGCTTATTTCACCTGATGATTAGACGCTCTAATGCTACTTGGGGGTTAGGTTAGGTTAGTGTTACGGTCGTTAATCTTCAGGTGTAATAAGCTGGGGTGGGTATACTTCAGGTGATCCCAGACTCCTATAGTGATTTCGAAGATGGAATGACTGACTATCAACACAGAGACACAAATTAAACATTACAATAGTTGGATGATGATATAAATGCAACAAATGTTACTAAATAAATTAATGTGTTCTACGGGACTCACCTTTTGGTTTCGTAACTTGGCGGGCGTTGAGGTCTTCCCCATTATGTTGTGAGGATAAGGTGCTATTGGATACGTAGCCGTGGTGGATATACTCGACGTGGTGCTGGAAACAACCGGAGACACGACACCCGGTTTGTTTGGGGTTGTGGGGGACGACGGAGGCGACGAGAAGAAAATGTCCCGGGGAGACATGACGCTCGGGGTCCTACGCTGTTTCCCGATCATGGACACGCCCATAGCCGGCTGTAGAGAAGAACACAAGTAAGACTCTTATACCTTAATTCACTACAATTATTCGGATCGTGATATGCATAAGTGATCCAAAGTGACAGCAGTTGTTCATGGCAAATACGAATCAAACAATCATAAGGAAACTGTCATGCTTAAGGTAATGAGGACAGTTATATAAAAAGTTGATGATGTCTTAATCCAAACAAGTGGACATGAGAATTATTTAAGTTGGACCAAATTAATCTTACATTGTACAGGTATCTCTGTCTGTTGGTTATTACTATGGGATGAGGTACAGGTAATTAACTATGGTATTAATCTTACCTTGAGAGGCGTGCGCACAGTGTCGGAGTCTTCGTTATGTGCTCTGATGGTCAGGTTAGGTATGGGTTTTGAAGTCCTGTTGTGCCCCGGCGAGTCCGGCGGCCCAAAAGATGGGGAGGGCACGGAGGAGCGGGACTGGTGGGAAGACAAGAGGGAAGACGTGGAGGAGCCGATGCTGAGGGTGGAGGAGGAGGAGCTGGTGGGGAGTGCGGCTGAGAGAGAGGAGGTGGGAAGAGTGCGCTCACTAGGGGACAGGAATTTGGTTCTCGGCGGCACCTCCGGCCGACAGATGGCCAGAGTCACGGTGCTGGCGGTCTGTTGTGACTTTTTGGCGGGAGTAGCGGCTCCTTGCTCCCACTGCTCCATGTAGCAGTGGTGGGAGGACGACTGCGATGACGCATCAGGCGGGGCAACAGAAGGCCTGGCATCATCTCTGCCATTGTCTACAATAAGTTGTCCACTACTGGGGTCCAGTGCTAATTCAAAAGCGGCTTTCATTGGGTCGCCTCGACTGCGAAGCTGAGGCGGGTGGTAGAGTGCAGTGCGCTTCAGACGATCGGGTAAACTGGTTTCCCCAGAACCAGAACGCGATCTTCCATCCCTCTTCTCGGGGGAAGAACGTGCGTTTGGCCTCGGCCTGGAAGAGTCGGTGCGCAGGGAGTTAATCCAAAGTTTCTCAGGAGAGCCTTCACGGTACTCCTCCGATGCCAGTAGACTGCTGGTGGAGCCGTGAGAGCTGCGAGTGGGCGTGTTAAGTGGTGACGTGGGAGGAGAGAGAGCTCGTGGGTGTGACCAGGCCAAGCAGTCCAGAGAACCTCTTCTTGGCGATAGCGACCTGACGGGCGACTCTCCCCCAACACTGCTGCGTCGTCCGCCCATTTCAAACTTAGACGGACTACATCGCCCACTGGGCGGGGGCGTTCCCCCCCATCTTCCATTGCCTACTCTACTGGGGCTACTTCGAGTATCTAAGTCAACCGAAGAAGGTCTGGCAGGAGAGTACTGGGTACTAGCACGGGTTGGGAGCATATAGTGTGGACGCTGGCGCTGCCCACCCACCAACACATCCTGAGCACCATCAGCAGGCTGGCAGTCAACACTGGTGGTGTTGTCTGGAGGTGGTACAGTACTGTCAGTCCTCACTACTCTTACTTGTGACTTCTGAGGCTCAACATCCTCTACTACTTCAACTTGCTCTTGTTGTTGTTTCTTGTTTTGTTTCTGTTGGTCCTGGCCGTTCGGTGTTCCTCTACTCGCCGCCTGTCTCCGCCGCTCCAGGGTGAAAGGCGCCGGCAGCTGACGCAGGCGGTCGCGGAGACTGTTCTTCCTGGTGATCCTCCGTCCAGATCCTCCGTCGAAGCCGACCGGCGTAGCTGCCGGCGTCTCTGGCTTGTTCACTCCCCGCAGGTCACCCGTGGAGGTGCTCCTACTGCTGCTCTCACTCACCCGTCTGAAGAAACACTCAAATGTAGCCTCTCAAACCCTCACTTAGTCATCTAATAAACAAAGCTTATCCTCTCACCTTATATCACCATAAGATTAACCACCCAAACACTAACCCAATCTAATCTAACCTAACTTAACACAACCCTACCTATGCTAACCTAACTTAAACTAACAAAACCTAACCTAACTACCCAGCTAGTACAAGGCTGTGTAATCACCAGCTGGGGGGGAGGACCTAACATCCAGGTAATACTGGACTTACCGGCGCCACCGTTACCACACGTACCTGTAGCTACGGAAAGATGCAGTGGGCACCGGCTGATTCAACATGTCCCTCGATGGCTGCAGGAACCTCAGACCTTGACTCTTGCCCGAACTCAGTGCAGCTAGGGAGCCAAGGGGTGTACCGCGGCCCTGGGTACTCCTAGAGGGACTCGCCGAACCTCCTCGCCAGATAGACCCGACGGCCTCCTTGCTCGGCGACGTCCTGTGGAGCAGTCGAAAAGATTCCCTATTTGAGTATGTTAGGTTAGGTACTCATGAGATACCCTGTACATAATTAATTTTCCTATCGTGTTTTACCTATGAGACACCCTGTATATAAAAAAATTTCCTGTTGTATTTGACCTCTGAAACACCTTGTACATTAATTATCCTATCGTATTTGACCTATTTTTGAGGTTAAGTTTTAAATCGGTCAAAAACTTTATGATGGTTGACCTCGTACGATATATAATGGTCGTTGTACCTAGACTGGGTGGACTGCGGTGACCTTCGTGACGGTGACGATCGTTCCTCCAGCTCCTCATCTGTTTCGCTGTAATAGACTTCTTCTCCTGCAACCAAGAACGAAGTAGTTATCAGTAAGCATCCCAGTGTTTACAAAATATTTACCAAAAATGTCGTATAAATCATCAATCATCCTGACATTTAGGGTTAGGTTAAATTCAGTTAGTTTAACATAGGTTAAATTTAGTTAGGTTTGGTTAAGTTAGGTAAAGATAGCATTAAAGGAGTTTAATCATCATATCAATTAAGCTGGGGAGGCTAATCATAAGCTGGGGAGGCTAATAATAAGCTGGGGAGGCTAATCACACCCTGGAGAGACTAATCATACCCTGGGTAGACTAATCATGCCCTGGGTAGACTAATCACACCCTGGGTAGACTAATCATACCCTGGGTAGACTAATCATACCCTGGGTAGAATAATCATACCCTGGGGAGACTAATCATACCCTGGGGAAACTAATCATACCCTGGGGAGACTAATCATACACCTGGGTAGAATAATCATACCCTGGGGAGACTAATCATACCCTGGGGAGACTAATCATACCCTGGGGAGACTAATAACAATAACACAATAACAACAACACTAATATGATATACAAAAACAACACAAAAAGGCGGGAAACAGAGACAAACTGACCCGGTTGTTGCTGGTGGGTGTTGTGGTGCTGGCGGTGGTTTGAGGTGAGGGAGGTGATGGCAGAGAGGCCCATTTGACTCATCCACCTGCTTCTCTCCTCACTGGTGTCACAGGCGAAGTAAAACGTGGCGCCACCTGTGAGGATATTATAATGTGGTTAGGTTATGGTAGGTTAGGTTAGGTTATTCAGTTAGTGTTTGTGGAGTTTGTGGTGTTATCTGTCTCTTAGTGTGATGGTTAATGGTTGTGAATTGATGGTGAGGGTGGTGAGGGTGATGATGGTGACAATGGTGATGATGGCAGTGAGGGTAGTGGTGGTGAGGGTGGTGGTGGTGACAATGGTGATGATGGCGGTGAGGGTAGTGGTGGTGAGGGTGGTGGTGGTGACAATGGTGATGATGGCGGTGAGGGTAGTGAAAGTGATGATGATGACAACAATGAAAGGAGTGTCGTAGAACGTACTAGAATGGTAGATTTTGAACGCAAACTTCTTGGCCTTGACGTCGGTGGCTGGACAGACGTGGAACCCCGGCAGGTAGATGAGCGAGTCTGCCCGCACCGCCTCACGATCGCGATAACCATAGAGGTAGTTCTTCTGTGGGGGTTAATACTGTGTGTTAAAACCTCTGACCCATAATAACAGTACTACAGTTATATACAACATAACAAGTACTTTCAGACATATTAATATACATCACATTAACCATAAAACAACACATTAATATACATCACATTAACCATAAAACAACACATTAATATACATCACATTAACCATAAAACAATACATTAATATACATCACATTAACCATAAAACAACACATTAATATACATCACATTAACCATAAAACAATACATTATATACATCACATTAACCATAAAACAATACATTAATATACATCACATTAACCATAAAACAACACATTAATATACATCACATTAACCATAAAACAATACATTATATACATCACATTAACCATAAAACAATACATTATATACATCACATTAACCATAAAACAATACATTAATATACATCACATTAACCATAAAACAACACATTAATATACATCACATTAACCATAAAACAATACATTATATACATCACATTAACCATAAAACAATACATTAATATACATCACATTAACCATAAAACAACACATTAATATACATCACATTAACCATAAAACAACACATTATACATCACATTAACCATAAAACAATACATTATATACATCACATTAACCATAAAACAACACATTAATATACATCACATTAACCATAAAACAATACATTATATACATCACATTAACCATAAAACAACACATTAATATACATCACATTAACCATAAAACAATACATTATATACATCACATTAACCATAAAACAATACATTAATATACATCACATTAACCATAAAACAATACATTATATACATCACATTACATCCATAAAACAATACACATCACATTAACCATAAAACAACACATACATCACATTAACCATAAAACAATACATTATATACATCACATTAACCATAAAACAACACATTAATATACATCACATTAACCATAAAACAATACATTATATACATCACATTAACCATAAAACAATACATTAATATACATCACATTAACCATAAAACAATACATTATATACATCACATTAACCATAAAACAATACATTATATACATCACATTAACCATAAAACAATACATTAATATACATCACATTAACCATAAAACAACACATTAATATACATCACATTAACCATAAAACAACACATTAATATACATCACATTAACCATAATACAATACATTATATACATCACATTAACCATAAAACAACACATTAATATACATCACATTAACCATAAAACAATACATTAATATACATCACATTAACCATAAAACAATACATTAATATACATCACATTAATCATAAAACAATACATTAATATACATCACATTAACCATAAAACAATACATTAATAAACATCACATTTACAGGTACAATAAATACATTAAGTTTATTATCAGTAATCACAAAGCTTCTTAACTACCAAACTGTCATAATACAAACAATATAAACCTGAATTATATATATATATACATCTCATATATATATATCTATCAGCCTCAGGATTTATTTTACTCTGTAGCATCTCTCATTACCCAGTCCCCCCCCCTGTACTCACCTTAAGGATGAACCAGCGACGCTCCCAGCGATGTGGCAGCAGGAACCCCTTGTTGTCACGGCGACGGTGCAGCCAACCCTGATGGTCTCCTTGTCCGAGCTCACGGCAAGAGATTCTCCGACTCCCTGAGAGGAACGTTGAGCTTTAAGCATGTGTATGTCTCTACCCAGTCACCTGAACTTATTCCCGATACAGTAGCTGGTGTGTCTTGTGAGATGTGGCAACTACTGTATGTGGATGGCTTACCTAATATCTTTAATCTCATTGCTACTATGGTGAGGTTCCTTAGGGCCATCCAGGGAGTTGCCACATCTCACTGTACCAGGTGTGTATAGATATGACCTGTACATACTTATCCATATATGTACACACACGCAGACAAGAATGCACCCCCATCTCTCTCCACAGATCAAGACAAACACCAAAGCAAAAGAGTTTCATACAGAGAACAAGACCCACATGTCACCACAGAAGCCAAGCAAGAGAGACATAAAACACTATTAAAAAAACTATGTACACGAAAGCCATACATATGTACACAAATACCATCTAAATACATACATACTTACATGGTAGGGATAGATCCAGCTCTGTTACTCTACTATGGGAAGGGAGGGAGGGGAGAGAGACGGGACAACTGACCTATGATAAAAGATCTGACCTCACAGTTATACTGATAGTGACTTCAAATACTGGGATGATGAGATGGGGTGAGAAGAGGGAAGGGGAGGTTATGAGATGGGGTGGGGGAGGATATGAGATGGGGTGAGAAGAGGAAAGGGGAGGTTATGAGATGGGGTGGGGAGGAGGAGATGGGGTGAGATGGAGATGGAGGAGATGGGGTGATTATGAGATGGGGTGGGGGAGGATATGAGATGGGGTGAGAAGAGGGAAGGGGAGGTTATGAGATGGGGTGGGGGAGGATATGAGATGGGGTGGGGGGGGGAGGATATGAGACAGTAGGGATGATGTAGGAAGAGAAACTCGAGGAAAACACAAGATGAAGTGTAAACATCTCGGACAAAATCAAATCCACATGAAATACAACACTAGTTAGTTACTGTAATAAGATGAGGCTGTGTGACAAACAATAAAAAACAAAACAAGAATAACTAAAAAATTAAATAAACAAAGACAAGAATAACAACAAAATTAAATAAACAAACATAACAATAAGATTATCAGTTAGTAATATGAGAGAACACGTTATTAATTACACTAATCCGTTATGAAAGCAGAGATGTGTATACTCGACTCCTGTGATGTTATACTGTAATGAACACTGAGATGGAGGGAAGTCACATATGATCCTTACCGGGTATTGATGGCTTGAAAATACATCTGGTCTTTTAATATATGAAGCTGTCACTATGGTACAAAGAGTCAGGGATAATATGTATGAGGGTAATGACTATCAGTTTAATTTAGAGAAACAGTAGAAGACGGGGCACATGCAAGTGGTTCTTCTAGCACAAGCTGAGGTATTGTACGTGTCTTCCATGAATGAGGTTTCGTTGGAGGATTCTTTAAAACACACACACACACACACAAGAAATCACTGCAAGTCCCTTACCACGATCTGTCACCATAAAGCCCCGCCGCCACACAGACGGGGAGCTGCTACGTGTTTCTCGCAGCACCACAGCTGAGGCCGATGACGTGGATGGCTGGCAGGCAGAGGAGGGAAGAACCACCTGCTGAGTGTTCATGCTCTCAACACCACTAATGCCACTGCTACTCGTGCTAACTCTTCCGTCGCTGCTATTAATACCACCACCACCATCACTACCACCCAGTCTCCTGTTACCACCACCACTGCTGTGTCTCTCTCCTGAAGCATTAACAGCCAACTCTGAGGGAGTGTGACCCTGGACGGGGAACACCACCTGGGACCTGAAATGTTCTGCGGCATTCGTCCCGACGTTCGTGGTCGTCGACGATATGATGGTGGGTGGAACGGTCGCCGGGGCGTCCCTGCCGACGCCAGAGCGAGAGATTGAGGGCGTCACATCCCCCGAGCTTACTGTTGAGGAAAGCAATCATGCGTCTATGTTGTCAGCCAGTTACAAGCCCAACACCAGGCAGGAAACAGTAAGGTACTCTACTATGCCTTCTACAGTAGTCTCACCCACCTCCTCACATGCATCAGCTTCACACTAAATTACATTATTAATTACAACTACATTCATTAGCAAAAGGAAAACCAAGTGAGGAAGAAGCAACTGCAGCTATTGGCATGACCATAAAAAATATTCACAGTATTGACAAAGAAAATAGCCACCCAATGTTATAAAGGCAATTACTAGCTGGAAAATAAGTCATGATTAACACTAACATCGATCTAAGGTCACTAGTTTCCCTGAGGTACACACACTACTGTATAATGCTCACTCACACCTCAGAGTCACACAGTTTCATGATGTGAGAGAGAGTGATGAGAGACAACGACGAGAGGCAGTAATGAATGAGAGAGTGATGAGAGGCAGTGATAATGTTAATAATGTACCAGTTGCTCACTCACTGCCTCTTACCAACACAGTAAACATTAATTCTCATGGTGTTCCAATGACCCCTCACCATTACGTGTTATGGGTCTGTATTCTCAAAGTTTAATGTTACATAGAATAAGGAAATACCCTGGCTAAGTTAATATTTGTGTAACTTCTATGGTATTTTGGTTTTCAATCTTTGTGTGCGTGTGTGTAAAGTAGACATATATAGTATGTCTATGGCCTATGAACCTACATCATGACAATTCTTATTCCAAGAACAGACCAATACACATGTGAAGAAATGCTCTCTGTTTCTCTCTCTCTCACACACTTCAATACAGTAGTGGACCCCCTGTGAACCTACTCTGACATGACCCAACAACACAATTGCTAGAGGGTAAACAAAACATCACAAACCTAGTGTTGTCTTTGTCTCGTGTGAGGTGAAGAAGTTTGTCGAGGATGACCCGTGTTTGGCGCTGTTTGGGGTCTTAAGGTTTGCAGGCGATCGGTCACTTGTGCCGGACAACAAAGAGGAAATGCCCCCAGAATTCGAGCCAATGCCACCAGGGAGTGTGCCATCGCCGTCCATGTCGTAGGCCGGCGTGCTGTGACTCTTGTCTAACTTTGGTCTGTCTTCAGAAACGCGCCGTGGCCTGCCGGAGGCGTCCTGTGGCGACTCTTGGCTGGTGTTAGCGCTCTTTTCTGGCGTGACTGTGCTGGACTTTGAGGAAGGAGCGTGAGCGAGCACCGCCGCACTTCCCGCTCTTCCTCCGTTCATATTCTCCTCCGCCACCACAGGACGATGAGCCAGGGAGGGAGAGGCATTCTGGTTGCCCGTCGATGCACCATAGTTGGTCGGCTTCCTCGGTGGCAACGGTATGATATTAACAACTTTCTTTTCGCTTTTGTTTTCAGTTTTGCCGACGTCAGAGGCACGTTCCTGGTCGCCAGTGCCTTTATCCCCGTTCTTGTCATCCGCATTCTCCATCGTTCTCTTCTTACTCCCGTCCTTCACGTTACTCTCCTCTTCCTTTACTTCTGTCATGTTTCTGTCTTTACCTTCCCTTACCACTCTAACTTTGTCCTCAGTTCCTATACAAGTATGAGGTCGGGCAGCACGGTGGTCCAGCCCGGTGGGTCCTCGCAGGAGATCTGGGTCTGACGGTGCTGAACCATCAGGTAAGCCACTGCGTCCACCTCGTGTCCATCTTACGTCCTGTAACAGCTAGTGAGTGCAACATCACATCAGTAAATCAACTACAGATAAATAAATCAAACAAAAACACAAAAGATTCAACAAAAAATGGAAAAATTACCCAATTTTCTACACCTTACTTGAAACACAATACATCTCTCATTAACACAGACGTTTGATGAGTTCAGCAAGACTCTTAAAGCAACACTAAATGTACATTAGAACATCATCACCCACGAACACCTAATATGACACATGTATGAAGATAAAGCACAACAATATATAAAGAACTTCATGTATGGAGTCTGGCTGTGTAATGACTCCAACAGCAGATGTCCCTCTCTAGAACATTCAGAGACACTGGATCTATCTATCGACCCAGGAAGGAGTCTCATACCTGGTCGAAGCTGAGGCAGGGTCGGGTAGTGGCTCCGGGTATAGTGGCTCGACGCTGCACCGGCGCCCGAGGCTTGGGGTGGTAGAGACGCACACTGGTCGGAGACGAGCCAGCTATGTCACTGTCGGAAAGGAAGGGGTCGTCCTCCGAGTCCGAATCTTCGATCTCCCTGTCGGATGCAGTGCTCGGTGCGTCACTGCGGAGGGACGACAGTTAAGGAGGAGGAACTGCCATGTAACTATGAGACAGATCTATTGTATATTTTTTCCTAATGACAGAACTAAAAATGAAACGGTAAAAAAATAATAATTTGTGTTTCAAAGGAAAATTTAATCGAGGGCTTAAAACTACTTCCAGAACCCTTCCAGTTCTTAAAAGTCATCTCACAAACTTTCCAGAGCTCTTCCAGGTCTTAAAAATCATCTCACAAAACTAAATAAACTCTTTCAATTACAAAGACTAAATAAACTGCTTCACTATCAATGGTTAAACAAATTACAACCACTAAATAAACCTCTTCAACTGCAATAGCTAAAGCGCTTCAATATCAACCACACAAACCTGAGGGAAGACGGAGGCTGTGGCGATGGTGTGGTCAGCTGTGGTGGAGGAGTGGAGGACTTGGGAGGCAGTTCGATGGTCTCTACCACACGTCTTATGGGCACCGACCTGACGGAGAACGACAACTTATACACCGACTGGTACGTTGGATACTCGTTGGGTACTCATTGGATACTCGTTGGGTACTATCACTATATGGGTTGATTTATTCCCTAGCTGCCCGTGAGTGGTACTAATATATAAGGTGATGTCGTACTGTAGGGTGTATTTTCAGTCAGGATTTTGATGGTAATATTGAATGTCTTTCTTTCTGTCTGTCTGCCTCTCTCTCCCTATCTCTATATGTCTCTTTATCTCTATTTCTTTCTTTCTGTCTGTCTCTATATATTTCTTTCTTTCTTTCTTTGTCTGTCTGGCTCTATACATATCTGTCTCTCTTTGTCAATTTCTTTCTTTCTGGTCTCTAACTCTTTTTTCAGTCTGTCTATCTCTCCATCTCTTTCTCTCTCTCTCTGTCTCTCATTTACTCTCATAAATAACAGTTACATCTTTAACCCAACCCAATGGTCATGGGTTTAATCCTATATTACCTGAAGATTAGACACCCCAACTTATTTCACCTGATGATTAACTATCCTAATGCTAACCTCACCTGTTAAGTAGCATTAGTGTGGTTTAAATAACTCAACATATTTCACCTGATATTTAATCCCTCTTAAGCTAACCTAACCTAACTTAACCTAAACCCCCCCCCCCCTACAGGTTACATTTGGGTAGTTAATCTTAAAACAAAATAAGCTGAGGCGTCTATGTTCCAGAGATGTTTTTAATCAATAAACTAAATATACTGTACTTGTCAATAACTCACACAGAGAGCTGGAGGTTAGGGATGCTCTGTAGGTCGTAGCGGGGAGAGGCGGCCAGAGAGCTGCCCCAGGGAGAATACGTCCGCTTCTTGCTGGGGAGTCTCATCGGCTTCAGGTAGATCTGAGCGACGGTGTTGGCGTGACGCGGCCGTTTCTTCACCGTCAGGATAACCTCGACGGGGAACTCTTGCATCACTGCCGTCACCTTGTGGGGACTCCAGCCAATCTGTTGATGAAATAAACCTCTTGAATGTGTTTTCCTGGACTAAATCTTCCCAGAAAATATTACAAATTATATAGGGATGCCATTTATAATATTCTTTTTGATTAATGCCAGACGATTCTATTCAGCAGAGAGGGGACCCCATACACAAGGGGTTAAAGATCCTGGGGGGTGGGGGCAATGTTAAAGCCGGTCATTCGTCCTACCGAGGTCCCAGAATTACCAAACGATACTGAAAGCATGATAAAGGACCTCAGCATGACATCAACAACAGACCATCACTCACCACTGTCTGATAGTTGACCTGCACCAGTTCATCCCCATCCTGCAGCTTGCCACACTGGTAGGCTGGACTCAAAGCCCTCACCTCTGACACTTGATGTACCCCGTGGTAGGATGACTGTAGGAAGACTCCCTGTAATGACAGACAAGTCAGTTAATCGCACAACAAGGAGCTATGGGGTTAGTATCAGGCCATAAAGGTCACACACACTCACACCTTCAATAAACACATACAATGAATATTCCTACCTAATTTTACCATAGTACTGTACTGAAAAATTTTGGACCACATAAAGATTAGCCGCCCACAGCATATGCCACGTGATGATTTAACACCCTAATATTACTGGGGGGTGGGGAGGAGGTTAGGATTAAGATGCAATAAACTAAGGGTTAATCTTCACCTGATCCCAACTGTCACACCTACAGACAGACAGATAGACAGATGATATTTTTAACACTTGCATATACCAAAATTTCACACCTAAAAACCGACAGTCTCATGCATACACAAAACAGTTCAGCGACTCACCCACTCGTCATCCGCTTTCTTCTTTATGGTTGCAATGTCTAGTGTGGCCGGTTGGATGATCAACGGGTCATTGTATTCCTGCAACAACACAAATCATCAACAACTGCAATATATAGTGTAGCTAAATGAGGAACTATTGGAAATACGATAGTTAGATTATTTTACAAGAGAGACAGAGCATTGATTACAAGTTTCTGTTATATGAGTCACAGTGAAAATTTGGAACATTACTTTACCCACATAAAGGTCAGCACCCCCAGTATAATTCACCTGATGATTAAACACCTTAACCTAACTTCCTCGGGTAGCATTAGGGTGAATATGGTGGGTGGCTAATCATCACACCCCAGAGAACTGTAGATAAAAACAGAAGAATACGTCGAGCGAACACTGATCTAGGGTTCTCGGCGACAGACAGAAAAATTTTACCTGAATGATCTTGTCGGAGATGATGGCAAGGTTAAGGCACAATTGAAGGATGACAGTCGCTTGTTTCTCGGCGAACATGTCACGCTGGGCGATGGTGGCCAACCTAATGCTCAGTTCCACCAGGTCGCTCTTAAGGCAATCATATTTTTCCTGACCTTCAAATGGCTGCCTGGGGGGTGGGGAGGAATACAGGAATCAATATATTAGTACAGTTCCAACTTCCTCATCACTATTCCTGAACTCTCAATGATATTACAGGAAAGGGATGGGTGAAAGACTACCATTTTTTTTACTTTCACTTTTAATACATGTTAAATATGTCTGTTTTCTGTGGTTATATAGTTAAGTGTGGTTTGGATTTAAGTTTTGTATATTTTTGTATATAAACTACTGTACTGGGCCATCAGAGGATAGGATCTCTCTTTCTCTGTCTCTCATTCAGTCTCTGTTTCTCATGAAGTCTCTCTCTCTCTCTTCTCTTTTTTTTCTATCTCTCTCCTTCCATGTTTCTCTCTCTCATTCCCAGTCTATCTCCTCTGTGTCTCTCTCTCTCACATACCTAGTAAGCCATGAGACAAGACCCTTCACAGAGGACAGCACGTCGGCCACTCCAGCAATGACAGCCGTTGAGACCCTTTCCTGCCTCTTCTTGGCGTTTCTCCTCTCCGCTCCCTCTTCATCATCCTCCCCGTCTTCCTCCTCTCCCGCACTTCCCCCGCCGTTCCCCGACGCTGCGGCCGCCTGGTGTAACTCATTGTATATGCTACGTGCCTTGGAGCTTAGACGGAGAGCCAGAAGCTGTACATTCTCCTGATGCAGTTGATAGTGCTGGAAAACAGACCCCAATTAGTTAAGATGTAAATAACAGTTGATAGTGCTGGAAAACAGACCCCAATTAGTTAAGATGTAAATAAATGCCTATAAACGCACCCAAGGTCATCACCGTCAGTTGTATATTTATAAACGTTCATTCTTGTCTCTGCTACCCCTATACAGTGTAAGAATCAATACTTATTTACATCAGTGAGTCAGTGAGTCAGTCAGCCAATTAAATCACATCCGAAGAGAAAAAATCACTCACAATATTGCGGAGAAGTTCGACAGCCTGGAGCACAATCTCCTGGTGGCCGATCTTGGTAACTCTCAGAGGGGGCAGGTCATCGGGACTAAGCTGTAGGAGTCGTTTGCCGTCCACCTGGTTGTTGACGAAGTAATGGATGTACGGCAAGATGGCCTCGTCCAGACCTGGTGGAGGGGGTGAGTGACGTGTGATGGCTGGTTTATAGGGTCGGTGATATTTGTTTATGATGAAATATTCGAGTTTTTAAGGATAATTGTTGTTGATTGATTATAACTTCTACTACTACTACCAATACTATCACTACTATTACTACCAGCACTATTACTACTACTACTACTACTACTACCACCACTACTACTACTACAACCACTACTATTACTATCACCATAAGTAGCTACCCTAGCTGTGTTGAATTAGTTGAGCCGCAGATCTATGCGGCATTCAGTGACTGTTGCCTCATAGTCAATATCTGCAGCAGTTGTCGGCTTTGGGGCCGATGCTCTCGTTCCCCTGAGGCAGACCAAAGCCGACTTAAAGAGAAGGACAGTCGACATCTCATCCAGGCTGTAACATAACTTGTGGGCTGCTGCTTCTGTTCGGAGATCAACTCCGCGAGTCTGGCGTAGAAACATCTTGCACTTGGTCCCATCCTACTACTACTACTACCACTACTACTACTACTACCAACGCCACCACTATCACCACCTACCATTACCACCACCACTACCAACACCACCATCACTACCCCCACCAACCCCTACACCAAGATCACCACCTACCACCACCACTACCAACACCACCATCACCACCCCCCCCCTACCAAGATCACCACCTACCACCACCATCACCAACACCACCATCACTACCCCCACCAACCCCTACCACCACCCCTACCACCAAGATCACCACCTACCACCACCAACATCACTACCCCCCACCAACCCCTACCACCATCACCTACCACCACCACCACCACCACTACCACCATCACTACCCCCACCAACCCCTACCACCATCACCACCTACCACCCACCACCACCACCACCACCCCCCACCAACCACCACCACCACTACCAGCACCACCATCACTACCCCCACCAACCCCTACCACCATCACTACCCTTACCACCACCTACCACCACCGCAACATTTAAGGGCGTGGGTGTCATGATGTCAACAAAGACCTCCCGATTGTCCTTCCCATCCCTTTACACCCCTTCCCTCCTTCCTGTCACTACCCTCCCATTTCCTGCCCCTACCACTCCTTGCCTGGGGTTGTGTTGGTAGTTATGACTCACCTTTCAGCCACTCAGAGACTTGGTCAGGGCTCCATTCGGCTACATTAACGTAAGCCATCCCAGCCTAGGACTACACCATGGCCCTCTACAACGCTGCCTGGCGCCAATGTTGCCAACTCGTTACATTCTCATACCTCTCAATTTTCATAATTTTTGTCATTTATTTTAGTTTTATTTAAATTTGTTACTGATTTTTATAGTGTTTAATTGATTTTGTGATATATATTTCGTTTTGTTTATTAGCTTTTATTGATAGTTTATGGAGTATTCAATAAGGATATTTCGTCAGCTGGTTATGATTCAGGTATTGGTAACAGTGTTGTCCGGATGTAGCAGTGCCAGTTAGTATTTTTTTGCTGTTTATCGTCCCAGTGTATCCAACTACGCAACTCTATAGTTCTATATTCTTCGTCATTGTTATAAGTCACAGTTATCATTAGCTTTTAGTTATTGATATATTGTGGTTATTTTTTTTGTATAAAGTAACGTTATCTTTCACGCACATGTACAGGAGGCCCTTGAGTGAGCATACACCCCGCGACATTTAATATAATCAATCCTTTTTCACATATTTATCCAATTTTCAAATTAATATATCATAATTTAAAAAAAAGTAATTATATATATGATTTTGGGTTTATATTTGAATCGCAGTTATGGAGGAAATAAAGATTGAAGAGTGTAGTTGTGATTGTGCTCGGTCGGGGCGCCATGTCAGAGGAGATGTCTTAACTGGAGACTTCCTCAATGATTCATGTTTTCCCGCTGTGCTCTACCGTCTAGCTATGTCTCTTGTATCATTTATCTCTCGCTCGCTCTCTTCCACCTACTACAGCGCACATCTCACTAGCTCTTGCGTAGTTCGGTATCTCTCTCTCTTATCTCTCTTCCAGCTTCTTGACTCACTTCCACTTTTTTGTTCTTGACAACTCTCTCTTTTCCATGTTATCCTTGGTTCTCACTCACCCCCGTTATCTCTTTCTTCCTTGTTCCACTCTCTTCTCTCCGCCTTTATCTCTCTCTCTTTAAACTCGAGTCTTGTCTATCTCATTCCTTCCCTCTCTCGTAATATGTCATCTCACGCTATCACAACTAAGTACTACTACTACTAAGCTACCACCACTACTACTACTACCCTTTTTATTACTTCTACTACTACTACTACCACTACACCTACTACCATTCATCTTACAAAAGGTAGTTAATAAGTCTATATCGCCAAAGACCGACTCGTTATCAGATCACAGATACTCAAATATCTAACAGTACATCAAACGAGAAGATGAACACAGAGATATGATCATTATTCTAACTATTATCAATAATAAAGTAAAAAATTAACTCGGGAATCCTCTGAGAATCCATCTTTGTGTGGTAGCTTAAGTGAATCAGTTAGATACGTTCTCACATCACCAGTTAGGAGGAAAATTGAACTTAGGAACCTTTGAGAATGTGTATGACGTGACACATCTGGTACACATTAAACTCACAGAGTGACCGTAGACAAAACATACTTCTGGACGCCACTTGAAGTTTCACATTGCAGTTGTATAATGATGTTTTGTATACTTTCACTGTCTAGGTACACTGTATACCTACACTGTCTACACACAAGATAAATCAATATAACTTGTATCTAACTTTTGGTAGCATAATATCACAAATTAATTCTTTATACACAAACAAGATTATTGATTCTGAACTCAGCAAAGGTCAGGGGTAAATTCCTGAAGTCTCGTATTTTTAACAAACAAATGACAACCAATCTCTTGAGTACATTGATTTAAACCCCTGAGTACATTGATATAGGCCCTTGAGTACATTGCTATAAACCCTTGAGTACATCGATTAAACTACCACACATATAGTCAAAACTCTTTCTTACTGTACTCAAAGGGTTAAGTCCTACAAAGGTTAAACATAAACCAAAAAAATTTAAAAAATATTAATTTAATCCATCAGACCATCACAATAATTCATCAACCTTTCTTAAACACCTAACCTCCACCTTTTCAATAAACCACAAACCATTTCATTGATGTCTTTTGTCTTCCAAATTCCTTGACATCAATAAACATTCCAAACAGGGAAGAAAAATATTACCTTGATCATTGACGTTATGTTATCACTGCGCTTCGACAACTGAGGTTTTAAAGCGCATAATGAGGGTATTAATTACAGTAATTCATCGAGAATTAAATATGATTTTTTTTATCTTAATCACAGCAGAGTTAATTGATGGCTTTTCCATTCCTAAATTAAATATATTTGTAATTAAATACAAAATTCAACCTGCTTAATACAGTATACAATAAAAATTTATGAAAATACAGCCTGATTAAATACTTTTTTATTCAGTTAATCACATGAAAGAAAATATATTAAATAGCCATAATTAAATATAACTTTTTTAAATAAAAAGAAAGTTCTTTAACATATTGCATTGATGTTTTTTCTATTATTAAATCAGATTGTATGGAGTAACAGTTGCTAACACACCTTTACATCATCTTCAGTAACTATGTAAGACACTATTCATCACTGGCGGCCACATTCTTGTTGACGGTGGCCTGTAGGGGGGAGTGGGAGGGGGGAATCTCTGAGGCTGCAAGGCTCTCAAGGACTCTGCTGGGCGGATCTTTGGTGAAATATTTAATCTCGTTGAGGATTCTGTGGTACATCCCCCCCCCCCATCGTGAGGGAACACTTCCGCGTTCTTCATGACTGTCTTGGGACACACTGTGCCGTTCTTATTCATCACTATTGTCTCTGCTTGTCAATGTACGGTGTCGCTCAATACTACCATCTTTGCCGGCCACCACCATCTCTGTACTGTATATAGTGTTACCGGGTACATCGTCATACTGAATGGTTTCTTCTGCTCACGGGAGGACATCTTCACCCTCTCCCATTCCTTCAACATGTGACACAATTTCCTCGTGCTCTACCCCAATACCAGCCAGTGAAGTCATGTCGTTCGTCTGCAGTACCGCCGCCTCAATGTGCGACGTCACGACCTCACAGTGCCCGACCACTTCTAACCGCGATGCCACGGGACGCAGCTCTACGCCAACTTTAGGAACCTGAGGAGGTGTGTACAAGTCATTTTCTGTCTGGGGTGCTCCAGTTGCCTGTGCCTGGGAACAACACACATCATCTATGGCTGTATGGTAAGTTGCTCTCAGCTTTGTTGTATAAATATCTTCCACTTGTGTGTTGTTGTCATCGTGTACTGCTACATCCTCTGTATTTTGATCTTGGGTACAGTATATTTCAGTAGTTTCTGTAGTGTATACATCCTGTAAGTGTGTGGTGTATACATCCTCAGTGTTCACAGTAAACCTCTTGTTATTGTTCACAATAGTGTACATCTCCTCCTCTTGGTCAACCAACACTTCTTGTTTTAGTTCACAGTAAACTCCTTCCTCTTGTTTGTGGCAGATCCGGTGTCTGGTGCCCACGTCTTGCACCGTCAGGGAGCGGATCTTGTGTATGTGTTTACACAGACCAGACACATCCCGACAGGAACACGTGAACAAGTGAGCACACAGGCCGGCACAGGACACATCCGTACACTTCTCGAAGCAGAAGTCTTGCCTACAGTCTTCAGCACTGCAGGTTACGACATAATATGTATTTGTGTTGTGTTGAGACATAACCTTCCACACTCCCTCACACATGGTAACATCACCATTGGGGATCTGTAGACCCCTGGCGTGTCTGTCGTTCACCGGCGGCTCGGGGAACACGGACGTTATGCCGCACTTGAAACTCTGCTCGTACAGCGTCACGGTCTCCTTCTCGGCCTCCAGCAGCAGTAACAGAAGGTCGCTGATCTTTCTACTGTGCTTCTTATCATAATGAAATGATCGAAGTCTGTTGTGAAGAAGCAAGCAGAAGGTGTCGGGGTCAACAAGTGTATCTGGCAATATTCTGTAACAGTCTGCCCAAACTTGTGGGGAGTTGAGGTAAAATTTCTTAAAGTAGTAAACAAAATCAGGGAAGACTTTACTGTATCTTCCTATGAATGAACTACACATGTGCTGGAAATATTCCTCGTCTTTCTCAAGGAGTAGACGATCCAGTGCAGACAACATCTCCCGTCTCATCGCGTCGTCATTCACCATTACCCCAAGTCTGTTTACCCAACTTTTCCTGATTTGTTTCTGGCACATAAGTGTTCTCATGTACCCAAACACAGTCTTGAGGGCACACACTCCCTGAGCGTTTCCGTCCGTCATCACCGCCTCAATCCTGAGGGAGGGACAGCGCTCCCTCAGGCTGGAGAATAAACATCTCAGCGTTTTTTCATCTTTACGATTTGTGATAAAATGGGCTACGGGGTAACAGTTCCCCGACTCATCCGGAACAATTAGATTAAGTAGAGTAAACTCATTATCATTGTCAAAATGAAAGAAATCCAAATATAACAATCTTTCTACACCATCTCTCATAATCCTCATTTGCTGTTCTGTCTGTAAGCCGACAGCAAATAAATCTTTGGCATCGGGGAGATCGTCAAGCTCAGAGTCACCGATGACGACGGGTCCGTCCTGAGGTTTGTACGTGATGAATGGGCTGACGGGATAACCTTCAAAATTCTTGACCAGCGAGGCGACGGAGGCAGCATCCACCTCCTGGATCCGACTGTTCATCTTCAATTTCCGCCTGAGCTCATTTAGTTGTTTGAGAGACACAAAATGTATTCTCCTGGACGCCTGGTTCACATCGTTCTCGTCGTGCTCGTCAGAGATTCCATCACGTAATTTTTCTTGTATTTTCCTGGGGCTGACGCCCAGTGCCAGCTGCTGCTTCACTAGCTGTAGGGTACTGGAGGGCAGCGGCTGATACTTCACATTCTCAAACTTCACTTCGTGGTTGTGAGTGGATATGTACTTGACAGAAATCGCGCCAGTGTTATACTCCTTAACGAGCATACGGGAAGGACAGGTAATACCAGTTTTAACTCTGCCTTTAGCCCACCTCCTGTTGGTCGTTCTACCCGCTTCTCCGCTTCTGCAGTGAAACCTCTCGGAGCCGTCGTGCTGACAGGTATAATAGTTGTAAACTCCGCCTTTTAGACGAGTTTTCCCGCAGTTTCTGCTGAAATAAGAATAAGTGTTCACCTCTTCTTCCTCCTTCCATTTCTTAAAGTCATCAAGTGATGTAAAGTTTATTTCTTTGGCATTAACATTCATTCCTGAATGATCATTTTCTAAATGATGAATCATTTTGGTTATGTGGAAAAATTTTCTGTCACAAGTGGGATGTAAACACTTAGTTTTATTGAGACTCCCAACGTTGCCACACGTCTTTAAGTGTCTCTTGAGGCTCTTGTTGGTGCTGTAAACATTGCCACAGTTATCACACCGACACTCACTCTCTACCTTGTCTTTGGGTTCACCCGTCATAAACGTCACAGAGAGACTCGTCTCACAGCTGGGAGGGGATCTCTGGGGAGAGTCTACGTTAATGTTACCAGAGTCGGGCACAAGCCACACGCACTGCACCGGCTTCTCTCTCGTGTCCGGCACCTCCTGTTCGACCGGTTCTCGCTTTACCACGACCTTCTCCCCGAACTCACTGCCGCGTACCTGCTTTTCCCCAGAATGAATCAACTTGTGCGCCTCAAAGTCCTGTCTCACTATAAATTTATCCCCGCACTCACTACACACAAAAGGTTTCTCCCCGGCATGAGTGAACATGTGCTTCTTGAGCATGAGCCTCTGGGCAAACTTCTTCCCACATTCAACACACTCAAAAGATTTCTCCCAAGTGTGAGTCAACATGTGTCTATTAAGTCGCTGCTTTTGTGGGAAAATCTTCCGGCACTCTGAACACTCGGCGGCCATTTTCACACAGTATAGTAAGTATCAAAACTAAACTACTTTATACGTCAGCAACAAAATCCAACTCATAGTGGAAGTTTACCGGTAACATCTGAAAATACCAAAGAGCGGACACTTGAGTCTTGCCGATGGTGCGGGTACTGGCGTCCCCCCTACAGTGTGTGGTGAGGCGGCGGTCACTAATGTGGTCATGTTGCCTCTTGAGAATGATGGCCGTGATCCTGTCAACCTGTAAAGGGAGATATTTATGTTAGGTTAGATTAGGTTACGTTATATGAGGTGAGGTTAGGTTAGATTAAGTTAGGTTAGGTGGACCTGTGTGGATGAAGAATCTACAATTCTTAACGATTATGCTGATGAAATGATCACCTAAAGATTAGACACCCCAACTTATTTCACCTGATGATTAAACACCCTAATGCTAACTTAACTTAATCTAATTTAATCTAACAACCTAATTTAATATAACATGACCTTATTTAATCTATCTTAACCTAATTTAATGTTATCTAACTTATATAACAAAACCTTACTTAACCTACTTCAGCTTAACCTAACCTAACCTCCAGGTAACATTAGGACTGTTATAATCATCAGGTGAAATAAGCTGGGGTGTCTGATCTAGTAATCTCTTTAATATACATAAGACTACGACTTTTTTTCTTCGTTTTATCACCAATAAACACGTACTTAGACAGATACACGATTTATTGAACTTTATGCTGTATTAAGCCGATTTAAGCCTAAATAAGCTTCCCCATTTACCAGATATACAGTAAATTAGTCCACGAGAAAATATAACTTAATTGAACTCTCTTTACCTTATCTTTATTCCCCCATTAACACAAATTAACTCAGATATACATACTTACACACATACTAATAAATTATACCCACCAATAAGCTAATAAATGGTGAAATAAGAAGCAAAATCACTGCTGTCTGGTGTGGGGAGTGGAGTGTGAGGAGCTGTGAAGGGGCGAGACGAAGACACTTTTGTATAGTGAATTTCATCTCATTACTTCTATATTTCATGATGATTTTAATATACATACACTAATTTTATCATATTATTGTGTTTTTTGTATTGGTTATGTAATAAATAGAAGTTTTATGCATTTATGATATATTATTTTCTTAGCTCCGTCTCCCCTCACAGCTTTATGTGAAGATAAACAAGAGTTGACGCTTATAGATAGAAGTCGGTAACATTAGCCCAATTTCCCTTGAAGAAAGGCTTACAGTGTGGAATATATTAGTTGTATTTTGTCTAATATTCTATCTTTAAACATAAGCTGTCTATCTATTACACAATCCAGAGTTTATTATATTAAAAATATTCCATCTGTAATTAGAAATTTATAATATTAAGTAATTAAAAATGTTTGAGCTGAATGCCACGTTTTTCACTTTGACAATCTTGGGGGTCCGTGGGAAATCTTTTTTTTTTTTGGATTGGGGGCAAAAACGAGTGATATGCTATATAAATGATCAAAATTGGCTCGGATTTTCCGTTTTTAAGGAGTAAGTCTAAGCCAAAATTTGAGAATCCGAGCCAAGTTTTGGCGAAAGCTTATTAACAAATTCGAATGAATCACACCAGAACCCCCTAACAGCTCATAACAAAGCAACCAACCTAACCTAGCCTAACCTTGTAAAGCAATATAATTCATACAATATAATGAAAATATAATTAATATGACTGGAAAAGAGAGGTATGTAATATATACTGTATATACAGAATTACTGAAGGACAGCACCATCTAGTGATTATAATCTTTACTAGGACGGTTTGTGACGTCATGGTGTTAAGGCGTCGAGGGTAGAGTGGTCAGTCTTGCCTCACCACCAGTCGTAAACAAAACTATGGCCACTCGCCGAGTCCCTCTACACTTCCAGGGTTATTCTTGCTGACTATTATTCCTGATTACACCCTTAGCTATTCAAAATAAGATGGACGTGATGTTGGTCTTGTCTGTATATAAAGGTGAGTGAGTGTAGTCGTGACTGGTGGTGGTAAACTGGAGATAAAAACAGTCGCTCCTTCCTTCTTGAGTGGCGTTCCTCTCAGCCATTTGATGCTTTTGTTATTATTACCCTTTTCACTCACATTTACTCATTTAATACTTATTCCATGGGTGTATTTTCACGCCAGGGAGGATATTTGAAGTGCTTTTGTAAGTTTGAAGTGTGTTTTGGTCTTATTGAGGGAGAGAGAAGTGTGAGCGTATCTTATGGTGGGATACATGGAATTAAACTCATATTTTTACTTATCATTTCAGCATTTATCAACTAATTAGTTAAGTATTTTAGTTATTTCTGTCAATTTGTATTATTCGTCCAGGATAATTTATATAATCCAGTTATAATTATTTGTCCTAAACATATTAATACTGTTACCTTAATGAACAAATAATCTAGTAATTATTTTAAGTATTTATTTTAGCCAGGTATTAACAATTATTTTTATCGAGTAATATAATTTTTTACGATTTCTCACTTTGGGTGGAATAAAGTCAGATTATTAGGCTCCTGTTTCTTGCACGTCTTAAATACAATAATCATTTAGGGTTATTGTATAAAATAATAATCTTTACACAAAACATAATTTATACTTAATGCCCTGGGAAAATGGCCGTTCATTTGGGCTTACAGGAATTATTTGTATCTTGACACATTCGGGGCAAATCTTCAGGTGAAGTAAGCTGGGGGTTAATCATTGGTTGAAATAAGCTGTAGGGGACTAATATTCAGGTAATCCAATAAGTCAGTAGAGAAATAGTTGAATATTCATCCATTGGCTGTCCTCGGGTTTTGATACAAAAATATTTTTGGGGTATTTTATGGTGTTACTCAGATCTGACCTTCATTTCTGGTGCAAATTAACGGTGTTTGAAAAAAAAAATCATTTGTAACAGAAACTGCTAATTTGCACCAAAATGGCAGTCAGGTTTGAGTAAAACACGCCATAAAACACACAAAAAATCAAACCTAACCTAACTTCACTTAACCTAACCTAACCATTTTTTTTAGCTTACCTGCTACTGTGGTGGAGGATACAGCTGGGTGATCTGGTACACTTATGGTTGCAGACAAAAGAATTTGTATTTTTTAAAAGAAAACAATTTCCACGCGTATGACACAGTCTTGATGTTGGTAGCACCGTGATCTTGTAATACAGTAAGTCCTCTCTTAATGTCTGGGTTACTTTCCCGATAACGTGACATTATACAAAACAATGTTAAGCGGATCAATTTTCCCCATAAGAAATAGATAAAATCCGGGAGTTACGTTCCTGAGCCTCCCTTTGCCCCATGAAATACATTACATATACATAAATTCAAAGCTCCTTGTGTGATGCCTGGTGAGGTGCTTGTATGCATTACTATAAAGTCACAGTCATTGAGATTTTATAAGAGACAAACTTAAAACTCCTCCACATGACAGATAAATATATACCATTAGGTAACCGTGGTGGCCGGTGGGCTGTCGTAATACATCAACTCCTCAGAACTGCCAGCAAGATTGAAGGTGGTTTAGGCCTACAATTTTTATCTCATAAAATGGCACAAACTAAAGTTAGCAGAATATAAATTGCATTACTAGAAACCTTGCAAGACAGCGAATAATTTGAATATAGACATCATATATTTTGCACAAGAGATAAAAATTTTAGTCCCTTAAGTACATTTAAGTACTGTACATGTTTTTTCAACTTATTTTTTGGTAGATATAGTAAATTTCTTCATTTATTTTTACTCATTTACATACACACACCATCCTAAATACCTATTGTGAAAAGGTAAATTAAATATTTGTCCTAAGGGAGAGGGTGATGCACCGTATAAAGTAGTCCATGACGGCCGAGTCACCGGGACGTTAAATGAATTTTTGGTCTCTAAAGTTTTTTTTTCTTTTTTTACGGGTATTAGCCTACCTGGGCACAGGTCATTGACCCACATCGGGGCCTGGGGGGCGAAAATGTAATAATAATAATAATAATAATAATAATAGTAAATAATAGTCATAATAATTCATAATAAATAAAATTTATGATAAAACAAACAAAAATAAAATAATAATGATAATAATACAGTAACTGTAATAATAATAATAATAAAGAATTATAGATACAAAAATTAAAAAAAAGATCAAAGGTGAGAAACAATATATGTTTGTTGTGTTGTCAATGGTAAGAGAAACAATTGAAACCCTGCAATTGTGTGTAAATGAGGCAGAAAGTCAGATCAGCAACCTGGGACTGAGTCACAATTTTTGTGATGCCATATGGCAGCAGGGTCTACCATTAGACAATAAATTATGCTTCTAATATCTTCCCAGGTGGTAGTACCTCCCTGTTTGGTAGCTACCTACTACGTAGTACCGAAACAACGTTAAGCAGGCCGACATTAAGTGAGGACTTACTGTACTGTATTTGGATTGCTTCACTATTGTTCTGATAAACTCTCTGAATAACATTTAAATAAAGAGAGCACTTCGCACGCCGTCATGAGCCTTCAAAATGGTGATTGGCCAGCCAAGTCACATGACACGATACTTGAAGATCATTGGTTGTCATGTCGTAAAGAGGATACAAGTGACTCTGGCAACATGTCGGGTACAGAAATTTACGCTTAGAAATTTGTGAGATTCTCCGTTAATATTGATTTGCACAAGAAATGATATGAAGTCGTATTTATTTATTTTATATAGTCTTGTGTCTGTAATATTGAAAATTGGAACCTGCTGACAGCCAGTGGATGAATATTAACCGAGAAATATTTATTAATGTGTACTGATGTATTTTCAGGGGAAGGTCTACGGACAAAGGAGGGTCACAGGGCGGTAGTGACGGCTCACCTACAGGATCACGTGCTGGCTACCGACCCCGTACCTATGACTAGCGGGCCAGAGTTTCGTCAAGAAGTGTCATGGGACGTCAACACCACAACTCTCCATAGGTTAGTACTGTAGTGAGGTTGTGTAGTGTTTTAAGTAGCATAAGTATTAAGTGTTGTATGAGTTAGTATTCTTGTGGTATTGATGTTATAAGTGTTAAGTGTTGGGTATTGTCTTTATTATAAGTGAGTTTTTCCGGCTAGAATTTAGTGATTGGTGTGTAGCATAAAGAGCTGCTGTCAGATAATTGGGGCAAAATGATCATAAAATGATGATGAAGATGATGATGAAAATTATATTGATAATGATGATGGTGATAATAAAAATGATCTGGTTTACAACACATTAAATGGTGTCAGATAGCACAGGCAGACTTACTCTACAGGAACAAATTTCATCGTTGGCTCAGATTTTAACGATTCTTTACAGGTACAAATGTGCAAAGGTGCCCATAAAGATCGAGTGTCATGCAGTGGACGCCAGCAAGCGCCAGATGTTACTTGGCTACGTCATCATGCCCCTCAACTCAGCTGTCCGAGGAGAAAAGGTAAGTCGCACGTCTTTGTTAACGAGTGTATCCAGGAGCCCCAAAATGGAACGCCTGAAGATTAGACACCCTGGGTTTGTTTCACTTGAAGATTATACATCCTATTGCTACCCTAACTTAACCAAACCTAACTTAACCTAATCTCCCAGGTGGTATTTGGATGGTTAATATTCAGGTGAAATAAACTTGTTGGGATTAATCTTCCGGCAAAATAAACTGGGGAGTATACTCCTCTGGTTAAATAAGCTGAGGGTTTAAGTTTAAGGAGAAATGAAACTGGGGTTAATCTTCAGGTGAAATAAACTGGGTGATTAAGCTTAATGAAAACTAAAGCTGAGGTTAATCTTCAGGAGAAATAAGCTGGGAACTCTTATTTAAGACTACAGTATATTATGTAGGTGGACGCGTCGCTGAACTGTAATTTATTCGCAGGTCGAACCCAAATGGTACAATCTGTTGGGAGGACCTTCATCCCTCGGCAAGACCCCTGCTAGGATACTGCTCAGCCTCAACATTCTGCGTCCTTCAGGTTCTGCTGCTGTAAGTGTCGTCGGGCTTTGTGTGTGGTCAGAGATATCGCCATGAACACCATTAATTAAGATGGTTGCATAAGACTTGTTTATCATTATGGATAATTTATAATATTTTTACTGCAGGGAGTTGACATGGAGGATATCATAATGATGGATTTAGACCAGAACGATGAAAGGGATCGCCCACAGAAGGTATCACATCCTAGAGGCATTCATCCCCAACTGACGGGGAACATCGAGGAGATTTCCCCGTCTCACTCCATTGGCACCGGTGGAGGTAGCTCTTACTCACAGACCAATGACAGCAGTAGCCACAGGGGAACGAGTCAACAGGTTAGCGTCCAGAGTTCACCCTCCGTGTCCTTCAGGGAGAACGGACACAAGTCGTCGCAGCAGAATGCCGGGGCCAGTAGTAACCTGGCGTTGGATCTCCCCGGTACCTCCAAAGACAACATGCTGATAATTCCTCGTTTGGGTGAAAACGGTGGATTCTTCCAGATTGGTCCCGTCGGTGAACCTAACGAAGGAGCTTTCCACTTTTCGGTGACTGTCGTGTACGCTAAGAACTTGGACCAGGTGAGTGTTTTGTGTGTGTGTTCCTGCTTGTATACACAGGCCTTGTACACAAAACTCACATCACCTGAAGACTACACACCTCCCATCTTATGTCACTTGGAAGATGAACCACCCAGATAGGTTAGGTTAGGTTGGGTTAGTAATGAGGTAATTAATCTTAAGGTGAAATAAGCTGGGATGTGTAATGGTCCAATAAATACTAAATTTCCATTCACATTTGTTTAGTTGTTATTTAATGTGGTTCTTTCATGTGTTGAATGATGCTGAATTTCAGTCAATAGTGACCATCTTTTTTCAACCTTGGTATTATATGCATCAATAATTTGTGGTGTCTCTTCTGTACCGACGCCATTCCAGTAATACTTTAAAGCTCCGTTGTATTTTCAGTCACTAGATAATTCTGTGTCTTTCAGGTGCTCCCCAAGGACTTAGAAATGGTGGAGGGTGATGAGGTGCGGTTCTGCTACTCTCTGCTGGGCCAAATCGTGTACACTGATCCGATAAAAGATCTCAGGAATCCAAATTTCTTGGCCCAGAAAGCTGCAGGGAAGGTCTGCTCCACGTCGTCAAATGTGGCAATGTATTTCAAGCAGCATCCAGACCTCCCCATTCACCTCGTCCTCGGCGACGTGTGCCTGGCGACCAGCTCCATAAATCTGTCGTCGTTTGAGTCGTTAGAAGACTCCCTGACGCCCGACAATCCCTTGACGGTGGAGGGGACTTTCTCAATGGTGCCGGCGATGATTAACCCCTTGTTGTGGGCACCGTCCAAACAGCCAGAGCTTGGGATCATCATACAGCTCTCCCTCTCACTGGACACCGAAGCTGCCACCGCCCATTATCCCACGATGATAAAGGACAACTTCACCAGCGGGAGATCCGCAGTCCTGGTCGACTACCTCTCCTCGGCCTCGTCCAGCGATGAGGCGAGCGACGTGGAGGAAAGTCAAGCCATAGCCTGGTCGAGCCAAAGCAGCATGAGCGGAGGTCGGAGCCCCTCTGACGGAGTACACAACAAGATAATAAGGCGCGGACACAGACTGAGGGATGTGTCTTCCAGGTGGCGGCACCAGCGCAAATCTCTCATGTATGAGGCGGCCATGGAGGTGGAAACTTGGAAGGAGAATCAGCAGCACATGTTTTGGAAGCTGGTGAGTGTTCCTACCTCTACCTTGTTAGTTAGTTCCTACCAGTGTTCCTACCTACACCTTGTTAGTTAGTTCCTACCAGTGTTCCTACTTGCACCTTGTTAGTCTCCTACCAGTGTTCCTACCTCTACCTTGTTAGTTAGTTCCTACCAGTGTTCCTACCTACACCTTGTTAGTTAGCTCCTACCAGTGTTCCTACTTGCACCTTGTTAGTCTCCTACCAGTGTTCCTACTTACACCTTGTTAGTTAGTTCCTACCAGTGTTCCTACCTACACTTTGTCAGTTAGTTCCTACCAGTGTTCCTACCTACACCTTGTTAGTCTCCTACCAGTGTTCCTATCGACACCTTGTTAGTTAGTTCCTACCAGTGTTCTTACCTACACCTTGTTAGTTAGTTCCTACCAGTGTTCCTACCTACACCTTGTCAGTTAGTTCCTTACAGTGTTCCTACCTACACCTTGTTAGTCTCCTACCAGTGTTCCCACCTACACTTTGTTATTTAGTTCCAACCAATTGTTGGCTTAGTTTGGTAGTAAAGTGAGTTTTAACATTAACTTTGAAGTACAAGTATCTGGCATGGAGGTTCACACACACATTATTTATATTCTTTTTGTAACGGAAGAAAAATATAAATATATATGTATATAACTTGTTGACTTCAGCTGACATGAGAAATAATGAACAAGTAGCGTCGGCATTTTACTAACACTGTTCTGCTTTAACTAGATAACTACATTTACCTAGCACCAATAATGGGGCAGTAATGTATAAACTCAGTGAAGAAGAGTCGTATGTGCTACTGTTAACTCACATGTGTCATAATGCAGAAATGACTGTACAGTACTTATCTTTTTTCTTTCCTTCATTAATCTTTTTTCTTTCTTTCATAACTAATCTTTTTTCTTTCTTTCATAGCTAATCTTTTTTCTTTCTTTCATTACTATTTTTTTTTCTTTCTATCATTACTAATCTTTTTTCTTTCTTTCATTACTAATCTTTTTTCTTTCTTTCATTACTAATCTTTTTCTTTCTTTCATTACTAATATTTTTCTTTTTTTTATCTCAGTGGAGAGCTCGAGAGGCTGAACTGCAAGACCACTTGGCGTCTGAATGGCAGTCAAGGATCACCAGCGTGGAGGCACAGCTACAGCAGCGCCTGGACCAGTGTGAGGACTTACACAGGAAGATCACGTCGACGCTGGTAAACCTCGGCGTCAAGGAGAAGAGCGTCGCCATGCGGGAGGAGAAGGTGAGGTCGTGGTGGCCTTGGGTACGATATTTTGAATTATTATTTTTTCAATGTATTTAAATTTTCGTCTAGTAGTGCATTAATGTGGACTGATGGTGATAATTTTGGTGATGATAATGATGGTGGTGGTGATGATAGTGGTGATAATGATGATGATAATTACCTCCACTTATTCCTCCTTGTCATCACAGGTTAAAGCAAAGAAGAAAGAAATCTCGAGGTTACGGCGCGAGATCAAACAGAGAGAGAAGATGTCGAGACACATGTGGACGGAGGAGACGGTGCCGAGAGAGATGGAGAATCTACGGGAACAGCTGGAGAAGGCGATGAGGAAGAGGGTGGAACTGGAGAGACAGGTGGGAGATATCTCTTAGTTAGGTGGAACACTGTTGAGAATTTAATTAGTTTTTCATAATGGTACTATACTTAAGTGCCAGATCTAGCCTAACCCAAACTAACTTAATCTAACCTCACATAACCCAGTCCAAGCTAACCTAACCAGACCAAACACAACCCAATGAAATCCAACTCAATCATATGTTACTAAAGTTATTATGGTGTAACTCAACCTACCCCAGGCTAACATGTAAGTAAGTGTGTGTGTTGTTCTCGTCAGGTGAGAGAGCTGGAGGCGGCAAACAGGGCAGCCACCGATGCTGCCGAGGCGGCTCAGCTCGGAAATCAAGTCAAGGCGCAAGAGGTTGAGGCTAAGAGGCAAGAACTTCAACTCAAGGCACAAGAGACTGAAGCACTTAAGAGAGATAAAGTAAGTTATATCTTAAGTATTCCTGTATTTTTGTTTATTGACAGTGTGTTGTCCATTCACTCACGAGTTTTCCATAACTTCTTGCCTATGATTGAAGATGACTTAACCAACTTGACAGAATTGTTCTTTGTGTGTGTAGACTTAGAGAAGGTACTTGACAGGACTCCACATGAGGCAGTGAGAGACTTAGGGGTCAAGGTCTTGTTTGTGTGGTTATGGCATTGTGTAAGGGGTTCATCAGGGTCCTGTCTTGAGCTCACTTCATGGTGCTGGAGGCAATCTTGTGGGACTTAAGGATTGATCTGCCCTGCGAGTTGTTGTATGTTGAGGATTTAGTGTTGATAGCAGAGTTTTGAAGAGGCAGTGGAGAATAGTTACCATAATAGAAATTTGGGGTAATATGAAGATTGGCCCACCTCAGATTATTTCACCTGATGATTAAACACCTCATTGGTACCTCTGAGGGTTAGGTTAGGTTAAGTCAGCACAAGGTGAAATAAATTGAGGTGTTAAATCTTCATGTGATCTCACTTTATCTCTCTCTCTCTCTCAGGAACATCTGTCGGAGCAGTTATCAGCGGCCATAAAGAGGAAACAGTATTACAAACTACAGTGGATGCGTTCTGTCGGCCAAGTCCACCACCTCCAAACATCTCACATGCAACAGGCTCACAACGTCAAGTAAGATGATAGGGTGTAGAGAGTCATGTATGGCGTCCAGTAAGTTTAAGAGATATTGACGAAATTATTTATCTTATTTTCTATTGAGGAGCAAAGCTGTTTGAGGTGGTTACATTTATAGATGTCTTTTGATTGTGTGAATATTAGTCCCCAGGTTATTTCACCTTCAGATTAACCATCCACCTTAATGCTAATCACCCTCTGCCCACAGGTAGTGATAGTGTGTTGAACCTTTATAGTGCGGTGTTAAATTATGGGCTGGTTCCTTAAAAGCTATCTATTATCCACCAAATGACGGATGCAAATTTATATACTTCTGAGAATGATTCAAGTTCGTCTGTATGTGTTAATCCGGATCCGTCCCAGAGTCCGCTCGTGTGTCTGGCAGTCATGTACCCCCAATACCTCCAACAAGTGGTGATTGGATGTTAACTACTGTAGTTTATATTGTTGGTGTGTGTCTTAATAGATTCAATAGATTAATTCAATGTAGTAATTAGCTTTTTGGTGATGTGAGAGGTGGGTTGTCAGCCTTTCAGTGTGGTCTTGTTAGTAAAGTCTCGGTAACCCGGGTCTTTAATTTCAGGCTGGAGAGGTCGTCGCCAGAGCCGTACTTCGTCCATCCACGACCCAGCAAGTGGCTCAAGTACAAGGAGGAGAACCACACCAGCCAGACGGAGAGGACCAAGCTGTCGAGGCAACATTCCGACGCGGAGACGAACAAAGGAGCGAGCGAGAGATGGAGGAGCATGGGAGCATCGTCATCGCTGACCAAGAACCCACAGTTACAACGCACGCTGGAGAAGCACGTGACGGAGAGACAGGAACGAGAGAGGATAGTTAATAAACTCAACAGCATAAGGGAAGCTAAAGACTACGACGCTGCCATCCAAGAGGCGGGGAGTAAGATCCGCTCCCTCACGGACAGGTAACTGGGATGCGACGGGACCGAGGGCGGAAGTGCGGTGCAGGGAGCGGCGTAGGTAACTGAGTGTATCCAGTCGCGTAGGTTGTATTTAAAAGGAGAAGAAATTGTGAAGGTAAGGGACAGAGTTTACTATGTACTGTAGTACTGTATTTTGAAACATTATTATTACACTGTTTAAAAGTTTGTGCTGTACCGTATGTCACGACGGTAGACATAGCGTGGAGAAGAAAGTGTTTGTGTCTTGAGAAAAAAGAAAGTTTGACGCTTAGTGACCTTTACAAAACCTAGCAGTGGTGGTCTTGGGGCTATGGAATGAAGCTCTGGCTGAGTGAGAGTTAGTTGTTGGGGGACATCGCTGGACACAAGTTGAGGACGTGATAGTTGTGTCCTTCCAAGAGATAGAAAAAAATTTAGGAGTTTTGAAAATTGAAATATTTGTAAAATTTGTCAAGACACAAGTGAGTATCTTGTACTGTACTGAAATGTCTTTTGAGGTGTTATGTATTTTTCATGTATGGAAACTCTCATTATGTATGTGTCGTTATATAGCACAAGACGTACTGTACTGTACTGTGTCACACTAGGAGACCCTCTATGGTATCTATTTATAGACGAACACCTATGCTAGGTATAGTTAGGAGAGACTCAGCCGTATGTCAGTAACCGACCTGTCGCTGCTGCCGCCTCCAAGCCCTCAAGATCTCCACAAGACTGGTTGGGTCGGCCACGGCCTAAGATAAGTAATATTTTGAGGGTAATAATTATTTCTCTGGGTTATAGTTTTGGGGTAATTGATATTTTTGTATTTTTTCTTACTTTTGAGGAACATTCATAAACCATTTCACTAAGTTTAAAAAGATTACATTAAGTTATTTCCAAGAGTTATTATTTTGCAGGTCATGTTGTGTGGTTGAGCAGGGTTATGTACTGTACACCGCTCCACATACACTACATCTCCATATTTTGTTGTCCCCCATGATGAAAGTTTTGTTGTAAATACATTATCTCTTTATACTCTCAATAAAAAGAATTCACTGCCATTTTTATTTTATACTTATTTGATTAATACCTCAGATTGTTATCCCACCTTTTGTGTGTAACAGAGCCCATACTTGTCAAACAGTGTGTAACAGAGCCCCATACTTGTCAAACAGTGTGTAACAGAGCCCCATACTTGCCAAACAGTGTGTAACAGAGCCCATACTTGCCCATACTTGTCAAACAGTGTGTAACAGAGCCCATACTTGCCAAACAGTGTGTGACAGAGCCCATACTTGTCCAACAGTGTGTAACAGAGCCCAGTACTTGTCAAACAGTGTGTAACAGAGCCCCATACTTGTCAAACAGTGTGTAACAGAGCCCATACTTGCCAAACAGTGTGTAACAGAGCCCATACTTGCCAAACAGTGTGTAACAGAGCCCCATACTTGTCAAACAGTGTGTAACAGAGCCCATACTTGTCAAACAGTGTGTAACAGAGCCCCATACTTGCCAAACAGTGTGTAACAGAGCCCATACTTGTCAAACAGTGTGTAACAGAGCCCCATACTTATCAATAGTGTAAAACAGAGCCAGTCAAAAGTGTATAACAAAGAATTGACTGACTCTTTAACTGGCTAGAGAGTCAGTTAGTTACATAATGGATTAGTGAGTAAATAAGCGTCATTACTGTACTGTAATAGGTACAGTATATACAGTCAAACCTCTTATTTAACAGACTATATTGAGATGAAAGTTTGTTATATTGAGGGTCTGTTAGATGTGAAACCCCCATCTAACTGACTATATGTCCATTATAAAGAGGTTTCACTGTATATATTAAATAACCCTCAAGATATAATTACAATAACCACAAATACATCCATTATACATTGTATACATAAACGATGATACATTGTATACATAAACTACATAAATGAGGAATATAAACCATAATGTATGCTATATAGTTTATTATTTATTACAACTTTATTTAATATCAAGGATGATTTATCGACATATGTGTAATGTTGGTAAGACTTCAGGGATTAATTTATTATAGAAACTGGGACACTTTTATTGGTAAGTGTTACATCATAAGGGCAGGTTTAGGGCGATATTGCCGCTCTTATTATTATAGAGACGATGGATCACCTGAAGAATAACCACCCCAGCTTATTTCACCTCAAGATAATCAACCCTATTGCCATTTGGGGGGGGGGTTAATCTTAAGGTGATATAAGCTGGGATGGAGATTCATGGGATGGTCCTAGAGTTTTCTATCATTATTTCCTTTGACTCTACACAAACTGACAGGTGAAAAGAAATGATAGGTCATACTTCTAAAATAATTATGCAATATAAAACAACTTACAAAGTATACAAAGTCTCTCTCATTCTCTTTTATACTCACAAACACACACAAACACAAACACATACTTGCTCTCAAACACACATGCACACACACTCTAAAATACACACACCCACACTCTCTCCCTCTCTACATTAATAACTAAACACTGGTTTGCTATAACTAACAATTCACATCAATAAACTAAATACGATTTTTCATAACTAAAATCCTGTATCACAAAGGTTCTGAAGTGTTAGAAGAATGCATCTGATTAAGGTAGAGTCTCAGTTTAATTTTGTAGCCATCTTGTGTACATTTATGTATTAACTAAAGTTATTAATTTGGAAGTATCTACATGTATGTTTGTGAGGAAAATTTACATATGAAACTTAATTCTTTTTTGTGTTAAAGGTTTACCCTTAAACCTTAATTGGCAACTCTACCCTTATGTGCTAAATGGAACACAAGGAACATGAAGCATCCACTAATGATGACCACCCAGCTAACTTCAACAAATAATGTCACAGTTTAAGGATTAAGGGAACCAGTTATATGCCTTCTGAGTCCTCCACATGCATAAACCTTTGAAAATTCAGGTCGAGATAGAGTGAAGATTCAACAATACTTTACATAGAGTGAAGTTCCAGCAATACTAACCAGCGTACAATACTGGGATTTACGAAACATAGTATTTCTTAAACTTATCCTGGATCCTGAGTTAATTGTCTTAGGTTGGTATTTACACAACAGTATCACAGCAGTTCTGGATTACTTAGCTATGTGGGATTGTGGGTTAGCATAGTCTTAACCCAGGTTTTTTTTTTTACTGGTATTGGCCACTAAGGCACACGGTGTTGTAGTCGTTAATAAACACATACATTCTTAGTCACTGTTAGATAATTTGGATCACCTGAAGATTAGCCCCTAGCTTATTTCACCCTAACAGTAACCATAAATTAACCTTCCCAGCTTATTTGACTTAAAGATTAACCACCCTAACACTGACCTAAATTTAACCTCCCAAGCTTATTTCACTTTGAAGATTAACCACCTTAACCCGAACCTAACCTAACCAAGTAGCATCAGCATGTATAAGGTGAAAGATGCTGGGGTGGTTAATCTTCATATGATCCATTAATTTTCTAGGTACAGTATACAACTGTATTGTAAATGTAAATAAAAAGTGAAAAATGTAAATAAGAAAACTAAAAGCTATAAATACCTAATAACCATCATGTGAGTTTTCAATGTAAATGAAGATAAAAAAATGTAAATAAGGAAATGTAAATTATAAGTAACCAATGTGTGAGTTTTCTGTGTAAATGAGAAATTCAAGAGTTGTAAATATCAGACATTTCTTAAAAGATCACAACGCTGATGAGCCTCTACTTGACGGATCAGTTCTATCATATAACAGAGTACAGTACAGTACGTCGCTTCAGTCAAATACGGCGTTTTCAAGTAACGAGCCGTCAATTATTTACCGATCTGTTATGGTTAAGAATTTGAGTAAGTTTTCTATGCCAAATATACTATTTTCATCTCTCTCGCCGTCAGAGTAAAGCACGTGGGCTAGATCGATCACCTTCACCTTCACCTTAGGTAGGGTCTTCGGCGAACTTTCTCCACCGGTTACAGATGCCGACACATAGTCTCTCGACGGTGACTGGAACGTCTGTTTGGCGTCGTACACCATGAGTATTGAGCCGCATCGCACCTTGTAACTGTGCTGGGAGAGATACCAATCGTGGATGTGCCTGAGCTCGGCGGCCAGAGCGTGGCGGAGATCGTTGCCGTAGATGGTGTCGTGTTGGCAGAACGTCTCCAGTCCTGACCAATGAGAAAAAGAGGATCACATAATAACCTTCCTAGTTTATTTCATCTTAAGATTAACCATTGTAATGTTAACCTAACCTAACATTAACCCCTGGATAATGTTAGAAATAACCAACCTAACATAACCTAACACTAACTACACACAATGCTAGTACAATTAACCAACCTAACACTAATCCCCCCCCCTTGATAGTGTTAGTAAAGACTAACTACTGTAACACTAATCTCTCCCAGATGGAATAAAGGTGTTCAATCTTACAATAAGCCATGGGAGGTGTGGGGCCCTAATCACCAGGTAACCCATAAAACATTACTTACGAGCATCTAACAGGCACCCCCCCCCCCACCAGCATATAAATAAACCTCGATATAATGGACTACCGTACTGTACCCTCCCTCATATACTCTACCGTTAGATAAAGGTCTCGTAACTTACCCTCGAACACCTGGGCGGTTGTGAGCCGTTTACACTCATCAGGTCGTAGTTCGGTGACGAGGCAGCCAGTCTCGACGTGGTAAACTCTTAGGCCGGTCACACAGAAACCCGACTCACTTTGTGTGGCATACTTCTCCTGTTAATAATGTGTATATTAATAACAGGTGTTAATAGTTTAGGAATCATTTGGTGTATATTAATAACAGGTGTTAATACTTTAGGAATCATCTGGTGTATATTAATAACAGGTGTTAATACTTTAGGAATCATTTGGTGTATATTAATAACAGGTGTTAATACTTTAGGAATCATCTGGTGTATATTAATAACAGGTGTTAATACTTTAGGAATCATCTGGTGTATATTAATAACAGGTGTTAATACTTTAGGAATCATTGGTGTATATTAATAACAGGTGTTAATACTTTAGGAATCATTTGGTGTATATTAATAACAGGTGTTATACTTTAGGAATCATCATATTAATAACAGGTGTTAATACTTTAGGAATCACTTGGTGTATATTAATAACAGGTGTTAATACTTTAATCGGGTGTATATTAATCAGGTGTGTATATTAATAACAGGTGTTAATACTTTAGGAATCATCTGGTGTATATTAATAACAGGTGTTAATACTTTAGGAATCATTTGGTGTATATTAATAACAGGTGTTAATACTTTAGGAATCATTTGGTGTATATTAATAACAGGTGTTAATACTTTAGGAATCATTTGGTGTATATTAATAACAGGTGTTAATACTTTAGGAATCATTTGGTGTATATTAATAACAGGTGTTTATACTTTGGACAGAGGGAAATGTGTTTATATCAATAATGTTTAGAGAATGATGCAGAGAAACTGACCTGACCTGACCTGTAAACAGATATATTCTACTGTATAGATAAAAGTAATTAAATATAGTGTATAATTAATTTATGTATTGAGAGAGAAAGAGACACAGACATGTAGAGAGAGAGAAAGAGACAGATAGTTAGAGGAAGAGAAAGACAGACAGACAGAGAGAGAGACAGACAGACAGAGAAAGAGAGAGTAACCTTCACATTTCTTCACCTTCTCTTTGTATTTCTTTTGTCCCGGGTAATAGAACGTGCGACCAATCTTTATGTCGGCCACACAAGGTTGTTCAAAGCCATGAGCCAGATCCTCCAGAACCAGATGAGGTACAGCTGTAGATAATAGACCAATTTATGGCAGTTTTTAATCAGTAATTTTATCATTTCGTCCATTATTTATAGAAGTAACGACCCATTACTCAGACGACAATATGACTCACCTTCTCCATCTTTGATAACCTGATGAACGCCGTGAAATTTGGGTAGTAAGGTCTTCAGTTTCAGGTCGTCTGGGGAGGTGGAACTCTGCAGACGCTCGTAAAATCCCAGTTCATCTTGACACACTGGAATCAAATCTTTAAAAAAAAATCAAATTATATTTTAAACTTTGAGTCATGGATGTTTTTTTTTAATTTATTCATTCTCCTTTTTAAAGAACATTGATGAAGAGAACTACAGTAATGTAAAAAATATGATTCACCCGAAGATTCGCCCCAAGTTTGTTTCAGTTGATGATTAAACACCATACTGCTCCCTAGAGGAAGGGTTAAGTTGGGTTAGATTATGATATGTTAATGGTAGGTTAGGTCAGGTCAGGTTAAGTTATGTTTTGTTAGGCTTGATTAGGTAGATTATGTCAGTATTAGGGTGGTTAATCTTAAGGTGAAATTAACTGGGGGTTCATCTTCACATGATCTACAGTTTCATCACTTCATTACTGACAATAATATTCTAGATACGAATTTCCTAAACTGACACCACTATTTCGAGACACGAAAGCTTCCCCCTCTTATATGAATTTGGTTCCTGACAAAAAGTGCAGCATGACATTAACTTTACTCAGGCAGTCGAGTTTTAAGGAGGTGGACAGAGGGGGATGTTCAGGATCTGCTCCAGTCACACAGCCAAGACCTCACCAACGAAGAGGCTTCATGAAGAGGAGGACAAGTTATAGGAGCTACCTGAGACCCGGCTCACTCTCAAGGTTGTCAGTGAGGGCCTTGACCTTGTTCGTAAGGGGCTCAACTTTTTCCATGCCAAGGCCCATCACATGGAAAGGAGTGGTGAAGTTGTCTCTAGTGTGGAGAGAGACATCAGAGTCTACACTGAGATTCAACAGCAGCTGAGGAGGAAGGCAAGACAACCCACCAGAGTGATGTGGTAGACAACCCTCCTCATCACACTGAGTAAAGCCTTTACTCAGCCCACCCCTGCTCACCCCCTTATGGTCCAGACTGTCCTCCCATAAGGTAATGTACCAGAGCTCTACAGTACAGTATTTTATTATTATTTTTCTTCATTGTGTTAGATAGTAAATTACAGTAGTTATCATTAGGTAGGTATTGTCTGTGTACTGATTTCATGTGTTTGGGGTATGATATTTATATTTTGTTAATGTGGAACCGAACCCTATTTTTTTTCATATGTTATTCTATTCGCATTATGAAAATTCACCTAATGAATGTTTTTTCTGGTACCTAACCCAATCATACATCAAAGGATACCTGTACAGTATTTCTTCTGGCTGCCCTGTTAGAATCTAAGATAAATGTCATTGTTCAGAAGCACAATACTTGATGACAATCCTGTGATAAGGGAAACATTGTGAGTTAATGTTGTACTGATAAAATAGAGTGTATTGTCAACGAGCCCTCCTTGAGACTAGACACACCAGCTTATTTCACCTGAAGATTAAACACCCTAACACTACCTAGGAGGGTTAAGTTAGATTAAGTTCAGTTAGCCTAGGTTAGTTCAGAAATCAAAATAAGTTAGGTTATATTAGGTCAGATTAGGTTAGGTTAAGTTTTATTAGAGAGGTTATATCAGGTTAGGTTAGGGTCACTTAGCTCAAGATATGCTAGATAAGTTTATTTAGGTTAGATTATGTTAGATGAACTTCGGTTAGGTCAGATTAGACTTGATCTTAAATTAGATTAGGTTAGCATTACATAGAGAGAGACACAGACAGAGAGAGAGAGACACACAGACAGACAGACAGACACAGAGAGAGAGAGAGAGAGAGAGACACAGAGAGAGAGAGAGAGAGAGAGTGGAATAAATAAAGACACACACATTAAAACATCACCTCCATGCTGCCCAACTCACCTTCATCAGAGAGGGACAGCTTCTTATCACTGCTCTGGCTCGAGGTATTTGTCCCCTTCATCACCTGGCTGTACGTGGGATTGGCATTCAGTTTCAGCGGCTTCAATATCAGACCATTCTCACCTCTCAGAACACCTGGTGAGGAAGTACAGTACTATTTCAACAATAATAAAAACAATGGAAAAATCAATCATATTTTAACTTCAATTATTTCTGAAATGCGGTGAATAATCTTGATGTATTTTCTATAACTGTTTATTTCTGTTATAATTAAACTTATATCGACGAACTTTAGATCACGTGAAGAAATAAACACCCGAGTTTATTTCACCTGATGATTAAAACACCCTAATGCTGCCTGGGGAGTTAGATTAGGTTAGATTACAATAGATTAGGTGAGGTTAGAGTTAGTTAGGTTAGATTTGATTACATTTGATTAAATTAGGCTACATTAGGTTAATTATATTCGATTTAATTACAGTAGGTTAGGTTAGATTTAATTACAGTAGGTTAGGTTAAATTTGATTACAGTAGATTAGGTTAGGTTAATTAGGATAGATTAGGTTAGATTAACTAGATTAGATTACATTAGGTTAAGCATTAAGTGTTTAATCATCAGGTGAAATAAACCCGTGCCTTAACTTCCAGTGATCTAGACCCACTCACTCGTCTGTTTGCCCTTGTGCCATCCCCCGACCTGATGACTGTAAGCTTCATAAGGTAACTCCACACTCATAGTAACGACCCACGAGGTGATTCCGTACACGTGGGGTGACTATAGGGTGATGGAGGAGTGTTGCGTTGTTCTGTCAAAATAAGTAGGTGTAATTATCGTTTCAGTCATCCAGCGACTTTGAGGATGGGTTTGGTTAGGTTTGGTTGAAATTATGTTGGTTAATTGAATATTGTATGATGTTATAGCACACCTCACTACATCACAGCACACCTCACTATATCACAGCAGCTCACTATATCACAGCACACCTCACTATATCACAGCACACCTCACTATATCACAGCACACCTCACTATATCACAGCACCTCACTATATCACAGCACACCTCACTATATCACAGCACACCTCACTATATCACAGCACACCACCACTATATCTGTACACCTCACTATATCTGGCGCACCACCACTATATCACAGCACACCTCACTATATCACAGCATACTGCCTCACTATATCTGTATGCCTCACTATCACAGCACCTCACTATAACACAGCACCTCACTATAACACAGCACACCTCACTATATCTGTATACCTCACTATATCCACCAACACACCTCACTATATCACAGCACACACCACCACTATATCACAGCACACCACCACTATATCACAGCACCTCACTATATCACAGCATACCTCACTATAACAGCACCTCCCACTATAACACAGCATACCTCCCACTATAACACAGCATACCTCACTATATCACAACACACCTCCCACTATAACACAGCACACCTCACTATATCACAGCATACCTCACTATAACACAACACACCTCACTATAACACAGCACCTCACTATATCACAGCACCTCACTATAACACAGCACACCTCACTATAACACAGCACACCTCACTATAACACAGCACACCTCACTATAACACAGCACACCTCACTATATCACAGCACACCTCACTATAACACAGCACACCTCACTATAACACAGCACACCTCACTATATCACAGCATACCTCACTATAACACAGCACACCTCACTATATCACTACAACAACTAGCAGCACAGTGTTACACCCAAACGGCCTGGTCTCCTGAGTGGTGGGATGTCCGGTGATAAGAAACAATAGGTAATTAAGTCAGCAGGCGGAGAAAGGTGAGATAACTGTGGGTCATTAGTCACTCACACAATAGGTAATTAAGTCAGCAGGTGGAGAAAGGTGAGATAACACTCACACAATAGGTAATTAAGTCAGCAGGTGGAGAAAGGTGAGATAACTGTGGGTCATTAGTCACTCACACAATAGGTAATTAAGTCAGCAGGTGGAGAAAGGTGAGATAACACTCCGGGTCATTAGTCACACAACTCGTGACCTAAACAACAACATTGACAAAACAGCTGATGAAAGTTGCCAATGTGACTTAAAACTATTATTTTTATTATTATTATTACCATTTCTCTCTTTAATATAGTTTTAATTTTATGTATCTATAATTATTATATATATAGGTATAATTTGTATATAGTTTTGTTGTTATTTGTTGTTTTATATTAATGCCAGTATGTGTTGTTGTGGTATTAAAGGACTTCCTGGTACCTTTGCCTGACTCAGCTGATGGTGTTATCTCGCGCCATATTTTCAAAGACTATTAAATAAAACCTCTATTAATGGATTATATGGAGAGGGAAATCCGTTATATCGAGGGTCTTTTAGATGTGAAAACCTCCATCTAACGAACTATATAGAAAATTCTTTATATAATAGAGAGACATTCGTTATATGGAGGTTTCACTGTGTTTATACTGTTAAAATTGTTAACTTTAATCCACATGTAGTGTTTGAGTAGCTTCTAGGAGTTAGTATAAGTTTCCAGTTGGGATTAAAGGCCTCCTAAAAGGTAAGGGGTTTTAATTTCCTCGTATAGGCTTCTAATATGGCGTTTGTGAAAGGCTTCCAATATGACAGTTTATGGCAGGCACTTTATATTGATCCAGGTTTAATTATTTAGTCATTTTCTCTCAATTATATATGTCTATCAAGTGTCTGTTTATTTTCAATTATGCTTTCAACTCGTAAAATATTTAGAGTATTAGTATGGTTAAAAAATATTATCTTATATTTTATTATTATTATCTTTATGTATAATAATTTATTTTACTCTTAATTTCTGGAGGAAAGTAAGTGGTGAAAATAATCCATAAGACATCATAAACTGATAGCCAATCATTGTTCGGCACACTGCACAGGTTAGCCAATGAAACAGAGATGTATGCGTGTCGTCATAATATCCAGCAAATGAACTCGCGCTATATCTGTGACCTCATAGTGCCCCAACCAATCGAACGCCAGATTTCCATGACGTCACATACCGAGACATTTAAAACTTGTTATGTGTTAACGCTGGAGAATCTGATAAATTTACGGCTAAAAATGGCAGATAACGAACATGAGAAGGAAAATGAGTAAGTATAAGGTAGATGAAAGATTGGTGGATGGCTTTAGGAGAAAATGAGTTAGTATTAATAGTGGAATATTGAGTTAGAGAGAAATAATGGCTGGCGTCGAGTGACAGGCAAGGGGGGAAACCATCATGGCGTCTGTTATTTACTATGTTTTACTTTAGTGTGTTTTACTTTACTATGTTTTACTTAACGTTATCGTGTTCGCCATTTATCGGTCTGTTAGCCTCTTACCGTCACAACACTGGCAAACTGTTCCACTAGTTTATGATTCTCCCCAAAAGTTTACCCTGAGAATTATTTAAACGTTTTGCTTCTTCAAACTTAAGCTGTGAATGTCCTTTGATAACTTATATTAATTCACGTTGGTCGTTATTTTGCTGACATTACCATATAATTTACTCATAACAATATTAATGGTGTTTTTCCTGATGAATTATAGTGAATTTATTGAGTTACGATTCTTCCTATATTGTCAAATTGGGGAAAATGTCGGGTTAAAAACCTAGACTAACCTTACTTAATTTAACCTTAACCTTACTTAACCTTAACCTTACTTAACCTTAACCTTACTTAACCTTAGCCTAACCTGTGGTCACTGTACACAACTACTGGGTCATGAGCCAGTGTTTGAGGTTTAATAGCTGTCGCCCCTTTGCCAGTCTGTAGTATAAGCTAAGCAGTTGCAGGCGCTCTGATCTCTCTGGCTAACTGAGGTGCCGTAGTGAAGGAACCAGTTCATTTTAAATCAACTGACAATCTTAGCATATCTCAGACAGGGTGACACAGTACTCCAGACAGGGTGACAGTACTCCAGACAGGGTGACAGTACTCCAGACAGGGTAACACAGTACTCCAGACAGGTGACACACTCCAGACAGGTGACAGTACTCCAGACAGGGTGACAGTACTCCAGACAGGGTGACAGTACTCCAGACAGGGTAACACAGTACTCCAGACAGGGAAGCTCCTCACTTTAGGTCATGTGGGTTTAAAAAAAATATATTGACCTCTGAAGATTGAATATCGAACATCACATTAATTTTACAGAGGTCCTCCAGGCTATCTTGGGGTCAGTAGGCTTTAGGTTAGGTTAGGAAAAGCTAGTTTAAAAATCTCTTACAAATCACGAGAACTAACCGAACTTAACCGACCTTATGATCGTTAGGTTTTAAGTTAGGTTAATGGCTCTCCGCACAACTGATGACCTTGTGTGTTTTTCAGGATGGTGGTGAAGAAGTCTCGTAGGAGTGACCGGCGATCCTCGGTGAGTTGATCCCTTCACTGTGTTTTTTATAGGTTCTTGTTTCATACAAAAAATATATATATAATGATAAAAAAAGTTAGTTTCCTTTTTAATTTTTACTGAGTCACCTGAAGATTCCCCCTCCCTCCCTCCCCTATATCACCTTACCTGTATGATTAACCACTAATTAACGGGTGAATTATTTCCCTGATCCAGTATATACTATAATCACAGGTGAATTATTTTTTAACCAATTATTATCCTTAACTAATATTGAAAACCTGGTTAATATGATAATTAAGAGATGATTATTTTCCTGACAGATCCTGAAGGAATCCATCGAGATCGACAACTTTGAGAGGCGTCGGTCGAAGAGAGTCTCGTTCGCCGACACCAACACCATCAAGTGAGTTTATTTATATTAGCGTCTTTAGGGTACATTGACCACAGGGGTATGCATGGGAAAGTGTGTACCTGTACTTCTCACCATTGTGTCCTGGGTACGATCCCCTGCTTGGAACAAATATGAGAAGGGTGTTATCCAGTGTGACTCTATATCAAGTACTGTCTGGCAGGTTTTATCCGAGTAATACAGTTTCCTCCTGTACAATAAAAGATCATAAAATAACAAAGCTTAGACTAACTGCCCAATTGGCTAGTAAGCTGACAAGTGGTAGAAATGATAAAAATTTTGCAAGTATACTGTAACTGTACTCTATTGTTGATTTGAGAATTAACGACCATTTTTTAATATACAGTAAATGAGATATATGACTCACTCATGTCTTGTTACTTAACCTCCAGAGAGAGAGAGAGAGATCCTTCTTCACTCTCTTCATGACTGTTGGTTAGCTGTGGTCAAATTGGTTCACTGTTTCTGTACCTGCATTGTCTAGGTATTTTGAAAGTTGTATAAGTACCTGCATTGTATACAGGGGGTCCCCGACTTACTAACTAACGAGGTCCCTTAACGTTAGACTTTTTTGCCTATGGGGATTAGTCCACCCAGGCACTTTAGACAACACATGATGCTTCGAGTACTTCACTGTTTGGTAATTTTTTTTTTTTTTTTTTTTTATATAGGGATTAGCCCACCCGGGCACAGGTCACTGACCCACATTGGGGCCTTGGGGGCGAAAATGTAATAATATTAATAATAATAATAATAATTCAGATAAGTAAAATTAATGATAGCGATACAAAAATAATAATAATAAAGAACCATAAAGAAATACAAAAATTAAAATAAAATAATCAAAAGTGAGAAACAATATATGTTTGTTGTGTTAATAGTAAGAGAAAAAAATTGAAACCTGCAATTGTGTGTAAATGAGACAGAAAGTCAGATCAGCAACCTGGGACTGAGTCACAATTGTCGTGATGCCATATGGCAGCAGGGTCTACCATAGACAGCACATTATGCTTCCAATATCTTCCCAGGCGGTAGTACCTCCCTGTTTGGTAGCTGCCTACTACCTACTACTGCCTTCTACTTTTAAGTGATGACTTATTTTTTACTTTCATTTAATGTAATTTGTCATTCTTTTTCTTCTTTTGTCTTAAATTAAGTGATTTTAGATGTATATAAGGACTTAGGCTACGATATAGTGGGATTTTAAAAGTTTTTCTTTAAGTACAGTACAGTATGCTCATCGGGTATGTGTTTCAACTTACGAACGTCTGTAGGAACGGAACTCGTACGTAACCCGGGGACTGCCTGTATATACATGCTGAAGCAATAGACGACTTGCATGAGCTTTATTGAATACCGGTACATAGCTATCACTCAACTGGATCACCTGAAGATTAGCCACCCCAGCTTATTCACCTTAAGAGTAATCACCCTGACTCTAACCTAACCTACACCCTCCCCTCTCCCAGGTAGTGTTTGGGTGTTTAACCATCAGGTGAAATAAGCTGGAGTGGCTAACCATCAGGTGAAATAAGCTGGAGTGGCTAATCTTCAGGTGATCAACTGTGTTTAGGTATTTTTTTGTGATTATGTTTTTTATGGTGACCAGAGAGTTCCTGGCAACGATGGGCGCCAGCACAGAATGGAACAGCACCTATGAGACTCCCGCCACGCAGGATTCCTCTAACTTTATCGACCAGAGTGTGTTGGACAAATCTGTCAGGTGAGTGTTGACGGAAATGGGAGCAACAAGATGGTGTACTGTAGTGTCATAGTAGTTATTGTCTTCCTTTAAGTAACAACCCATTATCATTATCATCATCATCTCTTCTTTCTCTCCATTATATCCATCTATCTATTTACATATCTGAAAATAACCATGTTTATGCACAAGGTAATATCTCCTTATTTATATCATAGGTCTAGACCCCACTACACATGATAAAGAAAGGCAGTGTGTTGCATTATGAGGTATTACTCAAAGCCCAGGGAACACCACTCATAACAGGGACCATTTATCACATCTTTGGGACATCATCTACACCATAATGTTTAACAGTAATACAAGAAAAGTGCAATTTGGGGTTGAATTAAATTTTAGGAATCAGTTGAAGACTAAGACACCCTTCAGCTTCTTCCTCCTATCCCTCATTCTCCAACTCCTTCCTCCTAATTCTCTTCCTAATATTCCTCCTCATTCACTCACTTACTATTTTGATGTTGCATGTTATTGTTTCAGTCGCATTTGTCCTTTTACTAATGACCGGGAATTATTTCTCTCTGGTGACAGGTTTAACGACCACAGTGAGATGGTAGTGGAGTCGCCACCTATTCTCTCCTCCAATCAGGTGAGTTTCGTCGCTTGTGGTGCCTGTTTCTTGCCGGTCAACCTGATTGTGGCATATTTCCTGGCAGCCAAAGTGGTTAGGGAGATATACAGTAGTTGTAGTGTTGTTGTCTGTCTGTCTGAGTATCAAAAGGGTCATTGGATGTTTTACAGCCAATCTTCACAAAATCTTTTTATATACACGATGAATATAAAGGATCTTCTCAATTTTAAACAATGAAGAAACTAACCAAGCTCTCTCTCTTTTTGTCTCTCACTCGCTCACTCTCTCTGGGGTTATGTCAGAAAGGAAGTTTTTGTTCCATTGATGGGAGGAACTTCAAAGAGTTTGGAGAAAATAATACATGAGGTTGTGAGAGAAGTTCAGTGCAGTGTGATGCGGTACATAATTTTGAAGGGGAAATAATATCCGGACTGCTTGGGGATTGGATCGATCCGGATTTTCGAATTTTCCGGATTCTCAGGCATTACTTTTAAAAATCAAATTTAAGAAGGAATAAAGAAGAGGTGAACAGGTACATTTTGATAGTTTGTTCATTAGCAAATAAAGCATGCTTCATTTATCAAAACGAGCAGTTTTAAAGAAAAATAAAGTCAACACTTGACAAAAATGTAAACAAACTGTCTAATACCATGACGAGTCTTGAAATTCCTAAGCCATCCATCACTAAATGTGCACTCTGATGCAATGTTCATTTGCTCCTTAAAAGACTTTGCTTTGGCAATAAGCATCAGCCCAGAAATTGCCATACCTTCTGATCGTTTTAACAAAACCATTCGTGCAACACTTTATCGAGAGTTTCTAATTTGGGCCGATGTTAACTTTTTCTTTCAGCATTTTTAATGTAAGGCTCAGAAGAAGCTGTGAATTCTAGAATTTTATTCTTTGCCTTTTTTATATCATAAATTGTAGACTTTCCAATGTCGTATGTTTCATTAGAACAGTATTGCTCACACCACATTCTAGTTTCTTAATTATTTCAAGTTTGTCACTCAATTTCAATGTGTTTCTTTCTCTTCACACAACGAAGTTTATCTACTTAAGGAACCATTATTATGGGCTTGTACAGTACTCTGTAAATGGAAAGAGTAGGACTCAAAATTACATACGTTGTCACAGTTTGATTGCTTGTTTTAAAGTGGCGACCGCGTGGTCGCTGTGCAGCTGTGGCATTCACGCATGCACACATACACACAAAAGATTTATAGTGCCTCAAATTTTACATTTCAGGACAAGCTAATTACAAAACTAACAAAATTAGCTACCTATAGTTTACAATTACTTTTATTATTAGAATTATGTAAATTAATTTTTTTAAAGCAACTCCATTCATTCACGTAACCCACAAAAGCCCGCTAAATTTAAAAAGTTTGAGTTTTCGAAAAGTCCGGATTCTCGGGTGGTCTGGATTTCTGGCATCCGAATTTTTGGATTTTTACTGTATTGAACTTTCATAGCTTGTAGATAAACCTTTTTTAGATTTCCTGTGATAATATACCAGTATCTTGTTTTTTGCTGTGACTTTGCAAATGTTTTCATGTTTTGATATCAGGAAGATCATTTGTAGTCACTTGGTAAAGAGTCCCTGAAAATAGATTATCAGAAGGGGTTAAAATCAGTTGGTTATTTTCCCATATTTGTGCATGTAACATCAAAATGTAACTCTACGTGGTATTTCAGAATATAAAACAATACATTTATTTACAGGTAACAGCAGCTCAGAGGGATGATGATGATGGTACGTCCACCTTCCTCATGCAGTTGATGGGCTCCACTCCCAGCCACACCCAGACACCTGACACAGCCATCAACACCTACGCCCCTAAGGCTCACGGTACACCACTCGGAGATGACGACGAAGAACACAACTCGTCGGTCTTTTTGAAAACCATCATGGATAGCATCCCTCCGAGGTCTCAGCCTGCTCAAATGACCGACGCGTGTGAGGCCGATTCACCCGGCGATGATACTACTGACCCAGGGAATTTTCTAGCTGAATTCCTGGGCATGAAACCATCAACCTCCAAACCAGGTCAGTGTGGTTCTGTGTATACTGTATACCCAAAATAGAGAGACAGACAGACACAGAACAGGAGAGAAAATATGTGGGAGTGAGAAACAGACAGACAACAGGAGAGGCGATGTGTGGAAGAGAGACAGATTGTGTGGAAGACAGTGAACAGGAGAGAGAGAGACAGACAGAATGGGAGAGAGAATATGGAAAAGAGGAGACACACACACAGACAGTGAACAAGAAAGATAGAGACAAACATATAGAAACAACAGGAGAGAGAATGTGTGGGAGAGAGATACACAAGAAGAATATGTGGTAGAGAGAGAGAGAACTAGAGGTCATGAGAAGATTATCCCCAACACCAGCTTATTTCACCTAAAGATTAACCACCATAACACTACCTTGGTTAGGGGGAGGAGGGGTATTAAGTTAGGTTAGCATTGAGGTGGTTAATCTCCAGGTGAAATAAACTGGAGATGGTGATTAATCTTATGGCGAATCCCTTAACCATCATAAAACTGTCTTGGTATATGGGCTTGAGTATTAGATCTTGGACTGGGGCTTTGAACTGGGTTGAACTTGATAACTTTAATAAAACTCGAAAATAATCATAAATTTGTCTCTCTTGATTTAGATAACGTCATCCACAAACTTGGGGAGGATGTGGTGACGACCTACAGTGGGAGTAACATGTCAACGGTAGCCAGAAGTGACATGACTCAGAAGATTAGCACAGACATGGAAGTGACCTTGGTGGGGAGTCAGTTGTTGAAGCTCAACCCAGATGACATGACACAGAAGATTACTGCTGATATGGAAATGACATGTCCGGCAAGTCAAATAGCAAAGTTAACTAGACATGACATGACACAGAGGATTACTGCTGATATGGAAATGACATGTCCAGCAAGTCAAATAGCAAAGTTAACGAGAGATGACATGACACAGAGGATTACTACTGATATGGAAATGACATGTCCAGCAAGTCAAATAGCAAAGTTAACGAGAGATGACATGACACAGAGGATTACTACTGATATGGAAATGACATGTCCAGCAAATCAAATAGCAAAGTTAACGAGAGATGACATGACACAGAAGATGATTGCTGATATGGAAATGACATGTCCAGCAAGTCAAATAGCAAAGTTAACAAGAGATGACATGACACAGAAGATTATTGCTGATATGGAAATGACATGTCCAGCAAGTCAAATAGCAAAGTTAACAAGAGATGACATGACACAGAAGATTATTGCTGATATGGAAATGACATGTCCAGCAAGTCAAATAGCAAAGTTAACAAGAGATGACATGACACAGAAGATTATTGCTGATATGGAAATGACATGTCCAGCAAGTCAAATAGCAAAGTTAACAAGTGATGACATGACACAGAAGATTACTACTGATATGGAAATGACATGTCCAGCAAGTCAAATAGCAAAGTTAACAAGAGATGACATGACACAGAAGATTATTGCTGATATGGAAATGACATGTCCAGCAAGTCAAATAGCAAAGTTAACAAGAGATGACATGACACAGAAGATTACTACTGATATGGAAATGACATGTCCAGCAAGTCAAATAGCAAAGTTAACAAGAGGTGACGTGACACAAAAGATTACTACTGATATGGAAATGACATGTCCAGCAAGTCAAGTAGCAAAGTTAACGAGAGATGACATGACACAGAAGATTACTACTGATATGGAAATGACATGTCCAGCAAGCCAAATAGCAAAGTTAACAAGAGGTGACGTGACACAGAAGATTGCTGCTGATATGGAAATGACATGTCCAGCAAGTCAAGTAGCAAAGTTAACAAGAGATGACATGACACAGAAGATTACTACTGATATGGAAATGACATGTCCAGCAAGTCAAATAGCAAAGTTAACAAGAGGTGACGTGACACAGAAGATTGCTGCTGATATGGAAATGACATGTCCAGCAAGTCAAATAGCAAAGTTAACAAGTGATGACATGACACAGAAGATTACTACTGATATGGAAATGACATGTCCAGCAAGTCAAATAGCAAAGTTAACAAGAGGTGACATGACACCAGCAAGTCAAATAGCAAAGTTAACAAGAGACTGACACAAAGGATTACTACTGATATGGAAATGACATGTCCAGCAAGTCAAGTAGCAAAGTTAACGAGAGATGACATGACACAGAAGATTACTACTGATATGGAAATGACATGTCCAGCAAGCCAAATAGCAAAGTTAACAAGAGGTGACGTGACACAGAAGATTGCTGCTGATATGGAAATGACATGTCCAGCAAGTCAAGTAGCAAAGTTAACAAGAGATGACATGACACAGAAGATTACTACTGATATGGAAATGACATGTCCAGCAAGTCAAGTAGCAAAGTTATCGAGTGATGACATGACACAGAAGATTACTACTGATATGGAAATGACATGTCCAGCAAGTCAAGTAGCAAAGTTATCGAGTGATGACATGACACAGAAGATTACTGCTGATATGGAAATGACATGTCCAGCAAATCAAATAGCAAAGTTAACAAGAGGTGACGTGACACAAAAGATTACTACTGATATGGAAATGACATGTCCAGCAAGTCAAGTAGCAAAGTTATCGAGTGATGACATGACACAGAAGATTACTACTGATATGGAAATGACATGTCCAGCAAGTCAAGTAGCAAAGTTAACAAGAGATGACATGACACAGAAGATTACTACTGATATGGAAATGACATGTCCAGCAAGTCAAGTAGCAAAGTTAACAAGAGATGACATGACACAGAAGATTACTACTGATATGGAAATGACATGTCCAGCAAGTCAAGTAGCAAAGTTATCAAGTGATGACATGACACAGAAGATTACTACTGATATGGAAATGACATGTCCAGCAAGTCAAGTAGCAAAGTTAACAAGAGATGACACGACTCAGAAGATTGCTGCTGATATGGAAATGACATGTCCAGCAAGTCAAGTAGCAAAGTTAACAAGAGATGACATGACACAAAGGATTACTACTGATATGGAAATGAGCTCAACGTCAAAAAATGTAGATAGCAAAGTAGGTAACTTAATCCAGAATCACCCTACTTTAAAGAACTTACTTGAGTGGCACAGATCAGAGCAGGAGGCAGTATCAGGTGTGTCAACGGGCAATGTGTCCTTTAGAACCACAAGCAATCCATCTGATGTTTCCCAACTGGCGTCCCAAACACTGATAAGCTCAAAAGAATATGATAGGTCTAATATCAGTTTGAAATACAGTGAAGATAAGTGTAGTGTCAGTGAACCCAGGAATCAAGATTGTGGTGCAGATGTAGCTGAAATCACTGTGGAACGCGATGAATTAAATCAATCTAAGACCTTGGGGAAGAGGTCACGTAAGCTGTCCTGCAGAGATGAACCTTCGTCACCCAAGCGCGCTCTCCTAGATGTTAGTCAGTGCTCCTCCTCCCACCAAGTCAATCCCAATTCTTTATCCCCATCACATACTAACTCCACTCCCTCATCAGCAGCATCAACACAGAATCTTCTTAAGAATGTTCCTCCTTCACTGACCAGCACTGAGAGTGAGATAGTAGGAACTGTCTCTCCTAAAGACAAGGAAGGCAACTCCGTCGATGAAATGCTGGATGACATCAACGTGCCTCTTGTTGATATCTCTTGGCCAGCTACAGAGGGCCCAGGCACTGAGACATCACCACCACGAACGTCAATGCCAAGTGAGAAAGTGCCTGTCGTTAAGGAACCAAAGGCGGGGAAATTGAGGAAGCGTGAATCATTGGCTGCTGGCGTTGTGGACAAGCTGAGGCCAATGATAGCCTCCCTTATGGAACTTGGCAATGCTTTTAATAATGAATGTGGTAAAGAAGGAGCGCTGGGGGAAGCTAAGATACTAAATAAAAGTATTAATGAATCTCTTAGTAACCTCAGGAAGTGCAATAAAGAACTTTCCGTCCACAACTCTTCATTGCAGCATCTTGTCTCCTCAATCAACAATTCACAGACAAAACCAGGAGATGTATCCAGTGTAGCTGACTCCAAATTGAACTTAAGCACACAGTCAGTGGTGTCATGTACTAGCCAAAGCAATTCAGTCTGCAAATTAAACCTGAGCACACTTTCCATGGCATCAAATATAGAAGACCAAGAACAACTGACATGCAATATCTCTGACAGCGAGGCATTACAGGCATCCAAACAGCATAATGAATCCAACACATCTTTTTCTGGTATACAATGTTCAGCTGAACCTCTGGCTGAGGCAGTACAATACACCCAAGCTGAAGACTGTGAACAAGTCCAACACAACCCAGACTCAAATGGGGGAAAGAAACTTGAATCTTCATCCATAATGACGACAGAAGAAGCAGCGGACGACTCCGAGGAGCAGTGTGGTGGTGGCTGTCATCTCCTCCCAGGCTCTACTCTCTGTATGCTTCAGTACGTGGTCATGACAGTTACTGCTCACATGACATTATTTTCTATGGTATAAAAAATTAAGAATGGTATTGGATATACAGGTACTGCTATATTTTATCCTATATGTTTATAATTAATGTCAAACATGTTGATTTCAGCAATGGAAGGTCGTGGGTGGTGGAGGGAGTGCATGAGGAAGGGCGTTGTCTTAAACTGAAGTTCAGTCCACTTTTGTTGAACCTGAAAGGGTCACACTGTGACAAGCATTGGACCGTCTCTACTGCCGTCTGGGAACCACATCCCTCCAGTGAGTTGCAGGTTTTAGTCTTTAGGTTACAGAAATGAATTATCGACTAAACTGCCCACTTTTGTCTGTCTCTAGCAAGGGCAGTAATGTACCAAAAAATTACTTTTTAATCAAAATTACCACACTGTACATGTTGAGAAACCAGTACTGTGTTTCTTGTAGTATCTTATAAGTCCATCCTACAGATAGGTAATCCCAACCAAACACACATTAGATTTCTTGGGTCAGTTAGTTTTAAGTAGGGAGGACTGTCAAAAGGTTAGTTGTGTACTGTACAGGTATCCCTCATTTAGTGTTAATTCGCTTAAAGTTAATTCACTCTAGCTCATATCTACTGTCATTTGTCTGTGTTCATGTACCCACATCCCCGAGAGTATGCTGTGAATTCGTTGGGAAAGCCGATAGTGTGATAGAGCTTCTTAAAAGTTGTGAAGTGCTGGGATCAATGAGCTTCTCGTCTCCCCCACTCGTTGACCGGCATGTGTGGTGCATGGCCCGACTGACCCTTGGATTTGTTATCCTGTGCCAGAGTTGATATATTGTGAGAGAAGAAATCTGGTATGATTTACAGAAGAGATATGTATTACTTGCTGTGATATCTGACTAGTACCATATCAGTAAATAACCATAGAGTAACAGTTTATTACTGTACTGTTAACCTTACTGTATTAGGATGTTAGATTGATAGTAACTGCCTGTTCACTTCCTAGACCTCAACAACGGGAATGTGTGCTCACATTTACCCTCCTAAATCTACCCTACAATTATGGTCAAGTTAATATTGTAAATGATTTAATGTTTTATTACCACTTTAAGGGCTTTGGACATGGTAGGTACTGTTCACTGAACTCTCATTCATGTAAACAAATTCACGGGTAGACAACATGCAGAGTGGTGATACTGATGGTCGTTTTAACTGAGGGTGAGATGATAATGGTGGTTGGGACTGGTTACAGATGGTGCTAGAATGCTCGAGGAATTATGGTATTATTTACGAGTATTTTCGAGGCTTTGTTAAAAATTTGTATCCGACAGTAAGCCACATCCCACTTATCCCTTATTTACTGATAATTTGGCTTAATGTCAGGTCTTCAGCACCACAACCCTCATCATTTGACAAGGGACACCTGTACGTTGTTGAGGAAGATGGTGAACTCTGCCACTAATTTTGTATTGTGTATTGAACTCTTTACATGACTACCCCCAGATACTTTCCTTTCACAATACCATAAAAATTTTAAGTTTTATTAATTGAAGTTGTTTTTCAGAGGTTCAAAATGCGTGCGGACGACTCGTGTTGAACGTGCTGGGTTGTCGCGTGAGTGCCGCCGTAGCCAAGTTGTGTGGACTGGCCCTCTGTGAGATAGGTGACGTTCTGGGCCAAATTTATGCTGCTTACCAAGATAATGTGGACTTAATGCTGGAGCTACAGGAGTTGTCAATTTCAAACCTGACGGAGTTCCTACATAACAGGTATAGTGCTCGTACCAGCAATAGTCATGACTTAACACACTCGTTGGGGAGGGTGCAGTAGGTGCGCCTTTCATGGCTTGGGTTTAGCCACATCACTCACTCACTGTCACTATTGTTCAAAGGTGATTATACAATACACTACTTTATTGCTAAAACGTATAAAATAAGACGAACGCCATTTCTTTACGAAATTGTAGGAAATTTATTTGACTAGATTTGTTATATACAGTATACAGACATAACCCCACTTATCCATAATTAATATTTTAACATCCTTCTTTGATATTTGGAATCACCTGAAGAATCATCGCCCCAGCTTATTTCACCTGAAGATTAACTACCTTAATGCTAACTTAACCTAACCTAAACCTATTGTATCCAAACCTAAATCTAACCTAACATATCCTAACCTAACCTCATCCTCCCAAAATAGTTTTAGGGTGGTTTAATCTTTAGGCGAAATAAGCTGGGGCGATGATTCTTCAGGTGATCCGATATTTGTAAAGCATACAAGGTTTATTCACAAAATAAAGATTACGATACCCTACAGTAATATTTTAAGCTGGGCGGGCTAACCACAGCTTTCATACTCCAATATAAGGCCCACACGAGCGTTTTTGTTTCCCAGAGTACAGACTAAAGCGCGGTTTAGAGATTAATGAAGTTCAAATGCACAAAACACATGAAAATTCACCCACAGGAGATGTTCACCCCAAGCCTGTACCTGTACTTCCAAACCACCATGTGAAAAAATACACCGAGCGTTCTTCATATGACGAGCATGTTTGGCCCGATACACCACAAGTGTTGCCAAGCGCTCCTCTAGCTGATTTTTAACCCGCCACCATGCACTTGTGCTTCACTTAACCACACAATTATTTATGTCATACAATAAGACTTACACTTAATATAATATTAAACAAAGCTCAAAACCAACAACACATCACAACAGCAGTCGTCACCCTCACTTTGGATTTGTTGCTTTGTTGATTCCCTTGTTGTGGGGGTAGTGTTGGGGAGGGTGTTGAAGGGTGAGTGTGTGGGGGGGGTAGTGTTGAAGGGTGAGTGTGTGGGGGTGTGGGGAGGTGTTGAAGGGTGAGGTGTGTGGGGGGGTAGTGTTGGGGAGGGTGTTGAAGGGTGAGTGTGTGGGAGAGAGAGATGTTGGGCCATGCTCTTACATTATTATTTTTTTTTATTTATTTATATATTTTAGTCACTTAATTCTCTCATTAATATATTTTGTGTTTTATTTTATAGCGTGAAAGTGACCTTGTATAATTATAAAGCCCATTTGAGTGTGGACTTGTTGGTACACTTACAACTGTCAGAGCCAACCCCACACCATCCTTATACTCTCCACCCAACAACCACCATCACCATCGGCAATCTCAGGTCAGTCACATTCTGTCGTTTTTATTGTATCTTGCTTCAGGTATTGGTGATGGGCGCCTCAGAACACACGTAAAATGATGGGTAAGATGGCTATATTGCCTCAACTATCAGGACACATTATGACAAGATAAGCTTAGACACCACCTTATAGTCTAGCCAATCTACACCCTAAATAGGCCAAACCCATCACTAATTCCAGCAGTATTGTATCTGGTATCGTTTGGGAATTTTATCCTTATTACATATTAAAAATCAACCAAAATCAAATTGGAACAGTTACATTTTCAGGTGATACTGACTAGGTGTGGCAGTAAACGTGACACTATATTTTTGGCTGCAAATACCATATAAACATGGATAACACACTTAATAATACCATTTACTCTAAGTTGATTGAAATATCTATATATTTTTTTAGTTTATGCTCTTAAGCTCTTAGTGGTCTATTTCCCTTAAATATTTATTTTTAAAGGTACAAAGAAACTGAAGAAATCTCACTGAAGCAGAAAATATACAGGTTCTTACAACTTATTTATATTTTACCAATCACTACTGATAAAACAACTGTACAAGAGTAATATAACAGCAGATCTACATCTTCTGACTATATGTTGCCTACAATATCCAGATAATTCTACTGCTTATTGAGATAATTATGGTATTGTATAATTATAAACAACATGACAATTAGATGGTGGAGGGCATCTAAAGCTTATCATCTTTTCTGTCTGCTATTTTTCTGCTAAAACACTCAGTATATTGGCCTTTATGAAGTGGACCATATGAATGTAAAACATATTCCATTTTACATCACTTCTACTTCTTTCACGTACAGTAAGCCCTCCTTTAACGCAGGGGTTAGGTTCCTCGTAAACGCTGTGTTAGGGTAATCTACATTCAAGGAACTTAATAAATTCTCATCAGCTGACTCACAGACTGCCACTGCACTGCACTGGCTGTGTGCACGCCGTGACATCACATTGAGAGGGGGTGCAGGCACACAGTTACATATAGTCATAACCCATCACCTCAACACATTTACTTCCCACTTATAAACATCAGTGCTCTTCATTTGTCTTATTTTATAGCCACATTAGAGTTTTGGAATGATTTTTCCACAACTTTTATAGTTTCATTACAAGTAACAATATATGAGGTTGGTATACATACACACCCATGCTCTTAATTTTTCTTGTTTTATATTATATTTTCTTTATTTTTAAAGCCACATTAGATTATCGTAATGATTTTTCCACAACCTTTTGTTTCACTACAAGTTAACAACATATGAGGTGGGTGGGCTACCACTGCTGCATCCAGGCCACTTTGTAATTTATCAGACATTTTAATTTTCTCTTCTAATGTCATCACCTAACAGCTTTTCTTTACTCCACCATCACCTGGAGATAATGTATGTTTAGGAGCCATACTGTTTAAGAGTTTATTTCCCTTAAAAACAATAAAGAGAGCAAAAAGTGTATCAGCACACAGCTCTTACCTTGACTACATGAGGCTGAGGGAGATGTGAGAGGGAACCACGTTGTGTTAACGTACCGCATCAATTTGAATTCTCCGTGTTAGGCAAATACATTATTCACATTTATTTTCAAGTGTATACAGTTATTGAATTCACACTGGAGGAGGACATACTGTATTTTAATTAAGAGCATCTTATACTTGGTTGATGGTGTACTGTACTTTGCTTTTGTCATGCATGTTCTGTGGACTTTGCTTGGTACTGGTAGTTATAAATTCCAAATATTTTGATGACTAATGCATTTAACAGATTAGTTTTGCAAGTTAACATGTCACAATTATCAGTGGAACATCCCGAGGTACACAAAATCTTCTCAGATGGTCTTCAAGTGTTGAGGTATTCACATAGATACTCTCCTCTGACCCTGTTATGGAACAAGCCTTAATGAGAAGCCTGAAGACAACTGGGAGACTGACCAGAGGATGAGGGATAACAGTTAGTTATGTGACTGTTGTCAAATTCAGTGTGTGCAGATATGAATCATAATATGTAAGCTTCAACACCAGCAATCAACATACGGACTTGTCCCAAGCACATCAAGAGTGCGATGTTCGCGATACTGTGAAGCTTATCTTCTAGATCCCCATTTTCGCCAGTTACAACACTTTACAGTACTGGTACAGGTGTTTGTGCTGCAGATGACGTGGCTGTTGTTGTAAGTCAGAAAATTCTGGATGGGATGTTGGACCAAAATGTATCCTTGCATATGTCTTTAAGAAGGGGAATCAGGTCATTAGTATGGTGAAAAAATCTACTGTACCGTATGTGTTGGTTCTGAGTCTTTATCAACTGCTGTTTCAGCGGCTAGTCACAGCTCACATCACATACTACTACAAGCTGACAAGCCTGCAATGGGAGATGCTTTGTGGAAGGAAATGCCTAACAAAGAAGACAGCTTACCTGAAAATATCCAGTACATTCTCAATGGTGGTTTTCTCCCTCACTGAGTCCCATGAGAGACTGGTGAAACATTGGATGCTATATTAAATCATTTTACTCACTATGTAACAGCAACATTTGGTCAGGCTACCTTCGTCTTTGATGGATGTTATTCTGGTCCTACAACAAAAGATGGAGTCCAAGCAAGGCAAGTTAAAGGTGATCCAAGTCCCACAGTGTGATTCACCAGTGACATGCTATGCGCAATTCATAGAGTTCTTGTCCATCACTGAGAATAAACAGCAATTCGTGGACATGCCAGAGCAAACACTGATGTCTTTATTACTCAAGCTGCTATTGCACTGGCCAGAAAGTGTAACAGTCTTGGTTGGAAATGACAGACCTTATTTTGCTTTGCAGTCAGGCAAAGGACATCTGCTTTGAGCTGTACTTCTGACCATTTGCATGGAGTAATTTGCAGTTATTATGTGTGTTTGTCACATGATGAAGGATAAATAGAACTACTTGAAAATGTTGTACCGAATGACTAAATTCTACTGAAAGAAGACCATTGCAGGTTCACTATGGAAGTCACATTGGTGGTCATATTTGAGATTACAGGCTATTTTTTCCATCAAGGGATAATTGGGTACATTGCTCATGAGAATATTTTGGTCAAACAGTGAAATTAATGGATCTAGTATCCTGAATAGCTGAAATAATTACAACATAGGTTTTAACTGGACTACTGTAGTGGCTATAATGGTTTTCAGTGTGTTCAATGTTTTGATTTTGGTTGATTTTATTATGTTATTCAGTGATTTTCTAATGTAATAAGCGATAGCCTTTGCTCGCAGAATGATCAAGTGGCTAGTACTGATGTAAATGTGTTGTGTATTCTAGGTGTTCCACCATAGAGGCGGAGATGGCTGCAGTCAGTCCAGGCTCACAACAGTTGCGACGGCTTGTACAGGCTGTTGATTTCCTGGTGCAGAGCATGGCCTAGATATGGTTCCTCACTGCTGGTCTTACAGAAGACTCACTGCCCGGTACTTCAGGCTTTGAGTTAAGAATAGTTACTCACAAACAATAGTTATTTGTAGCTATTTTCTCCTTTGTTTATATTTTTCTTTCTTAGATTTTGCAAGTGTTTTTGAAAATGCTCAGATTTGTATATAGTCTTTCATATATTTTGTATAATGTACAGTATATGTAGTTTTTTTTTTTTTGTGAACTGGGTCCATATTCAGATTCTGTATTTAAAATAACTTCCTCTGTAACTTTGGTTCATTTTTTAAAGTCACCTGAAGATTGACCCCCCTCCCCCAAGCTAATTTTGCCTGAAGATTAACCGCCTTAATGTTAATCTAACCTAACCTTCAGGCAACATTTGAGTGATTAATCTTCATGTGAAATAACTTGAGAACCTAATCTTTAGGTGATCCATTTTCAATAATCTCTCTATACTTTAGTACGAGTTAATAAGTTACAGTAGTTGTCTTTTAATTGAGTTTTGAGGAAAATTTAATGTATTTATATCTGAGAATCTGGTTGATGGAGTTCGTTTGTTTGATAGGAAAAGAATTCATAAGTGGCCGTCAGTTCGCTGATGTGGTACAACTCACTTGGCATCGACCAACCAGTTATTTACTACGAATTCTAATGTTTTAAGTTTAGTCAACATGGACATTAGATAATTTCTTGATAACTCCTGTATATACTGTACGTCATTGTTTGGTAGAAATGTGGAATATAACTTCTGTACCTGTCTTTCTTAACATTAATGATAAAATATATTAAATAATGATATTCAGTTCAGGTTTTACACTCGTCCCCGAATAGGTTGGAGTATAATGTTTGGCTTTAGGATCTCGTCTTGGCTCCCCATCAATACCTACTGTAATTGATGATTCAGAACAGCATTTCAACACAAGTCCATTGTGAGAGATTGAATTCAAAGAAAACCACATGTTGGGCTGAGATAAAACCATAGGGAAATAATCAAGATGTTGAAAGGTAATTTAAATATAATTATTACATACAGTGTACAGTCATTTCTGCTATAACGCGTGTTTTGTCAACGCCAATTTTTGCAAATTTAGCCGTTCCCAACT